CGTGATGCGCATTAATCGTTGCAGCTGCTGATCACTTTAGTATTAAGGGGATAATGCCTCCCGGTTAGCTGTTGTTCGATTTAACTATCGAGAGAGGTAGTGAATGTTGCATACGGCCTTGGATGTCACTGCATCAATTGGTGCCGCTACTCGATGCTTTCATTTAGGACTTGGCTATATCGCGGAGACTACTACACCTGGCAATTTTATGACAGCATTAAAACACGTATATCCGAGGATGCAATTACGAATAGACTTGAACAGAGTTTGACCAGATAATACGAAATAATTTGGAAAAATAGGATACTACATTCCTTAAGATACTACTCCTTACCGACGTAAGACAGCCGTAAATTCTTTGAGGAAACGAGACACGGTAGTGGTTGCCAATCCATCGAGGTTGAGAAACAGGCAAACACCTGCCGCAGATCGCTTATGAAAGATCGCTTTCGAGATTACCGTTCCTTTACGAATTAGGAACGAGGAACGTTCGGATTAAAGGACAAACTGGAATGGCGCCGGAGAGAAAGAGGTAGGCGGAAAAAGGAATCGTGGGCGTAAGCGAAATGTAGGTGGTTAACGAAACGAACCCGTAGCCGATCGATCAGGGGTCACCTTTTAGGCGCGTCGGAAGATAAGGGAAATAGGTCGAGGCATTTGGGCAAGTTTCGGTAGCGTGGCGATCTTCGCGAGCATGGAAACGCCGCGGGCCAGCGTATCGATTTAAGGAAAAATAAATCTGGTTATAGCGATACCATAAACAAGTCGACCTTGTTGCAATTCCAGTACACGGACACGTATGCTTTTGCCCTTAAAAGCTGCTGGCAACAATGCTTTCGCCTTGGCCGAAGCAGGATCTCTATGGAGGATCGGAGAGGCGCCAATGGCGATGATGTAGGTGGATCTGAATGCACCATAGAAAGAGGTAAATAGTGAAAGGAGAAAAGAGAGAAAACTAGTGGACGATCTGCGAGGTTAGGCGCAGTCGCGGTGCAGAGTCACTGCACTCCTATGCCCCGTTGCGCACCGCTGAGAGAGCTCTGCGCGAGCAGCCGTATTGCCGAGTACAGCCGGTTTGCAGGCTCGAGGTATTTTTCATTGACAATGAGAGAAAATAGGATATACCCCGTCCGCTAATACCGACAGGGTAAAAAGTCCGCCCGAACTATTATTAGAACCGTACTTAAATAAGATTATGTGGATTGTAGGGACAGGTATGTGCGCTGACGGCACACTATCTTCTGCCGTGCTATGCAACTCGGCAGATAACTCTGCGAGAGTAATGCCGTAACGAATCGACTTAATATCGCCTCGAAGCACACCAATAACTGCTTTTGCGATCTATCGATTTCTCTTCGATGCACAGTTTGGCTTGAGTTTCGCTTTATCAAGTAGCCAAAGAGCGGACGAGCTAGCGGACGAGCTAGCGGACGAGCTAGCGAACCAGCAGGCTAGAGAGCGAGCGAACGCGCGAACCCGCCAACGAAATGGAAGATACGGGATCGTGTTGCAGGCATCTGGAAGTACTGTATCCAGCGTGCGTGGAGGCAAAGGGAAAGGCTTCGGCCGGAGCAAAGTTTCCCGATGTCGGACAAAGGTACGTTGCACTGTGCCCTATCCTGCGCATCGAAAAACCGTAAGCTCCTCACGATATACCAGCGCATCTAGCCTCAAGTGCTTCTTCGAACGCGGAAGCTTGTTGCGGGGGAGTGCACATGCAGAATCACGTCGTCGTATGGCCGGTCGGCCGCTCAGCCGGCCTCCTCGGAAGGTCGTGCCATTCAGCGGCCGTTCACCCATCATCCCTTTCTTTTTCTGCTCTTCCCCTTCTTCTTTTTCCTACCCATCACAGCTACGGCCAATATCCGCCATTGTGACTTACACGTATGACCGGTAAGCGCATAGTCTGCCAGGGTGCGAAACCAGCGCTATCTTTTCGACCGACTAGCACGAAAACTGTGCGCGAGCTGGCGATACCTTGACCTTTCGTTCCGATCCGATGCAAAGTGCAAACGACCAAAGCCTACGAAAGTCTATACGCGATACAGCGACGAAGAAAGGTAGACGCGTCGCGATACGAAACTATACCGTAGCCGATTTAAAGGTAAAGATAGGCGGGGGTAAAATAGGTACATTTACAATAGCTGTCAGTTGATACGATTAGCGTCTTAACGCTTTCATACTCGGCATATCAGCGAATGGTCTTAGCTCGGACGTTCACCTCCCGCCTATTTGTCCTCCTGCATCCCCTTATCTTCCTAACGCATCCTCATAACCGGTCCTTAGACCGCGTTGATCGTTCAGGCGAACGCCTTGGGTGACGAATTACCGGCTATGAAAAATCACGATTGCGCCAATAAATTCGTATCAGCGGCGCTAAACCGAAAATATTACGACAGTTTGCTACTTAGTTTCATACTTTGCCCTTAATGGATAGAAAGTCGGAAAAAAATATAAGCAGCAGGCTGGTAGTTATCCGGACAGAGGGATCCAGCAGATTTTCTCACGCATCGTGACATCCAGACGAGTTCTTCCTTGACTATTAGACTCGAAGCGATTTCTCTTCTTAATCGCGATGTATGTCCTCCAGTCTACGTCCTTGAGCAAAAGAACGCACGATCGATACTACGCAATCCTCGATAACCTCTTTGATTAGAAGAATTCAACAAGAAAGAGCCAGACGGCGCCAGCCGCTGCTAAGAAAAAGCGATCGTGTGAGGCATTCTAATACTCGAATACCGACAAGCTTATGTATTTCTAGACGGTACAAACGTTTCATCGGTCGATCTTGACAGTTATACGAATGATTATAGGCATATCGATCGCGAGGATCGTAGGGACGATTAAATGATTTTGTCGTTGTAACTCGCGTCGTAAAAATATCCACACGCGAGTGGAATTTATATTCCCCGATTCGATTTGAACGAAAGGCCGTTGTAGAACGTACTCGCATCGTTCGATATCGCGTTACTCTCGTTAGACGAGCAAACATTTTTACATTCTTAACCTTTCGAAACTCGTTAGAGTCGAAGCAATTAAAACAATTATCGATAGACGGAAAGTTTTTGGTGCGGAATGAGGGGAAGGATGGCTGGGACGAGAGTAGAGGCAGGTGGGTATTGCGACTATTATGTCGTGAGAAACTATGCGATTAATTTCCTGCTCCGCAAGTGACTGGCGCTACCGACGTGTAAGTTGCAGCGGCAAGAACCACGTAAATGTGTTCAACCTCTCGATGATGTTCCGTCGAAGCCACGTGAAAGAAACATCCGGTTCTCGAACTTCCCTCAAAGGCATTCCGCCGATTAAAAAGCTCTGCTGTTTACATCGGTAAAAACTACCACGACGTAATCACTGATTTTTATCGACGGGAGAGACACTCGTTTAATCGTTTTCCTCTCCTTCGATAATACTACTATTCTGTTTACCACTTTATATGCGTCGATATTACGTTGAAACTCATCATTCTCGTCAAAACGATTCTCATCGCTTATACTATCAAGGCCGACTGGTGGTGTTTACAGCAGAAAGATGGATGGTTGCTTGAAACTATTTAAGTCGTGCATTAGCCGCGATCGATGTTTCATTAAAAGCATCGGATCATGCCTGGAATCAACGGATCGACGCAGTGAAATCGAAAAAGAGGAAGGGAAAAAAGAGAGGAAAAGGAGGAAAACGCGTAGAGGAATAAGAAACACGCGACGAAGAAGCAATGGGTTTCAAGGACGAGTATGTAGAAATAGCAGAACGAGATGAATAAATTCGCGGGACAGTAGAATTCGATGTATAGTCGACAAAGGTGGTCACATACGTATGTACGTGTATGAGGAGAAGCTGGCGCTTATACAGCTTGTATTATATTTTATTATTATACCGTTCGCTACGGCTAAGGTTGAATCGCGTTGGAATGTAAAGAGTTTAAGACTTGCCTAGTGAGGATTTGCGATAGGCAACACCCGCGCCTACTCTCCCCTCTCTTCGCAACTTCGCAATAATCCCTTCTGCCAAAGAGTTGCCAGCTGCAGTCGTCCGTATCTTGTCTGCAGTCGCCGCGCACACTTGGGAACACCATGGCGTGTCGGGAATGCGGAAAGGACGAGTTTCTTCTACTTTTGTTGCACGTATCTACCTGGTAACCTGAGACGCGGTGATGCGGTGGCTCTTCGAAAACCGCGTCCGCTTCTAGAATCTTTGAGACTAGGTTGTATTTGTTCTTATCAGATTCAAAAACTTCCTTGGTTAGACGACTCTAGTTAAGTTGCTCACTGCTATACGTGCAATAAACGAGCAAACTCGAGCCGCGCGGGACGCAACCGGTGGTCTTCTTATAATTAGAGCATCACCGTTAGAACAGTGCAAGAATATCGATATAATAGACGTTTCAGTCGCAGAGTCAACAGCGAGAAGAAATTTTTCCGAATCTCCTTCGATAATCTCGTTGGAACTTGGAAAACACTTGCACCAACTTTCATGTTTAAAAGATTATTGACACGATAGCATTCGTTTATTTCGTATCTTCGACTCTGCGAGGATGTCTTTATCGCTTTGCTTTCGAACCGTCGAATGCTTTTCAAGCGTCGCGGTTTCTTCGGAAACTTTGATGAACATTTATGTACGGTACTCGTCGATTTACACGAAAATAAATGTGTTCGATCCCCGTGCAGACGTCCGACTTGTTCGCGAAGCAATGGTCGATAGAATGGATAGCTGCCACTATTACGATCGCCATTAACTATTTTACAGGTTTATCGCGGTTTGATCTCGAGTACCGCGTTTCGTTTCTACACGATGCTTCACGGTCTCCCATGCTTTACGAGCCATTGTTTCGATTTTTTCGCTATTACCCATCAGAAATAGCAGTAAGATTTTTGGTGTAAAATCACGTGTAGTTCGTGTCATCGAATTCTCTTCCCTTTTTCTATCTTTCTTTAATACAAAAATCTGGCGTAAAACAGCGTGAAAAAGGCGATAAAACAATGATACTCTTTGATCATTCGTTGTTACGAAGATTTACGAGGTGAATTTAGTTGGCCGTACGACGTATGACGAGGCAAACACACTTCCGTAGATACGTTTTCATCTCCAAGAGCAAAAGCCTGTAGAGATTTAAGAATCTTGTCATCTTGTTTTCTCGTTCATTAGGAAATAAATTTCGTTACCTGCCCGAGTTTAATTGCCTTCTTCAAACAAGGCACAGCTGCTTCAAAAAGTTCGTACTCGTAGTCATTTAACGGTGGAATACCCAAATGTCTTTGAATTCCATTGGGACCTAGTTCCAAGGGAGCAGCGAAGTATGTTAATTCCGGTACCGTGCAGGATCTAACATAAGCGCATTCCACCACGTTGCTTTGATGTCGCAAAGCTAAATGGATCGATAGCTACGTGTGAATTTCCATCTAATCGGAAAAAATATCTCGTATTCGAGGTACTACCTTTGCAAAGGGATATGCAAAATCTGGCAGCTGCAAAAGACGCAGCGAGAAACATATTTCCTGTATCTTTATTTGCCTTGGATGTCTCTTCGTTGGACGTTCTTACCGCGTATGTCAATCTCCTAGCTTCTATCTGATTAATCGATAAACGAATCGATTATTCGCGGTGAAAGGGAAGACGGTATGCGGGAATTTGCGAATAATTATTAACCTGAGATAATTTGTTACTAGGTTTTGCTTGAGAAAAAAGTGGAATACATGTTTTGGAACAGCCTCCACCAATCACCGGTACTATCATGCATTCTGGCTCGACACCTATAATTTCTGCAGCAAAAGTATTTGCTCTAAGACAGCTGAGATTAATTACGCCAAAGAGACGATTGTACTCGTAAACACCAGCATTTTTATACATTTCTATTGCCAGAGGTATTAAACTGTTTATCGGATTCATTACGACCGCGACCATAGCCTGGGGAAGAAAGGGACGAAAGGAGATTTTGCCACGGAAGTCGAAATTTCAATTATAGTACCTTGCAAAGCGCAATCGTTAATCGGTATGGTTCGTTACCTGAGGTGAAAATTTAATAACGTTAGGCAGCAAATCCGATAGCGTATCCGCATTAGACTTCAAGACTTCGTGTACGTCCGATTCGCCTTTGGTCGTTCCATCTGCGATAATCATTACTATTTTCGCCCCCTCGAGCGTGTGCTCGAGACTCTTCTCGGGATAATTACACGTACTAACCTTACACCTTGTGTCAATATAATTTAAATCCAGCGCAAGACCATAAATACATTTGCTGTCGAAAATTGCCAATTCGTCGATCAACGGTGATTGTTTCAGAAACAGTGAGAGGCAATTTCCTATGAGGAAACAGCGTAATCGATGTATAAAACGCGGAAAAACGAAGCGAATGTAACCTCGACTAATTACCCGTCTTGCTGGCAGCACCCAAGATAGCTACTTTCAAAGATTTTGAAGAAAAACCCTTAGTTTGCGTATTACGAATACAGAAAACATTCTTCTTTATAGGAGGATGGCGAAATTTGCCGCAAAATGAACGTAAAATGAAATTTCGTGATGTAAGAGGCGCGATAGACGTAAACATCGTTAAATTTTATAAAGGCCTGTGTTAAACAAGATAAGGTTCTTGTTTCTTTAAACGTGAGGTTGATTCGTATCGAACAGAGTGGTTGTGGTGCCATCTTTTGTATTCGCTTTAAGTCTTACACGATGATATCGTAGGAAACTTTACTTGCAATGATAATTTACATTAATTTTATTCGCATGACTTTTTTAAAATTTGTATCGCTCTGACTCTGTCCTGCTTCAATTGAACATCGGATAGACGAGTGAAAAATTATTCGTCATTATAATAACACATAAGGCATGGCACGTAATAGTCGTCGGGAAGATCGCAAGCGACAAAGCGATCCCGTTCGTCCACTATACCATTTTCTGTCAAAGTTAAATCGAGATTTAAATCCTTCCCTTCGAACTTCCACGTATAAGACATTCCATTTGCATTATAAATAAGGGCACGTTCTTGAATACGCCTAATGGAATCTTCTTCGCAAACCTTTACGCAATTTAGTCGTTAGTATGTCGCTCGCAGACTCGTTTCGTTTTACTGAAATTAAAAGCTCTACCATCATAACAACTTGTATCCCGGTAAGGACATTTAAAATTCTACATGGACGTGCATTTCTGGTCAAGTTTCCCTTCTTATACTTTTCGTCCAGCCACCAAGGACATTTGTCGAATGGTCGCCAAATAGTACTAGGTACTACGGAAGGTATCACATCCGGAATTGGACCATGAGGACAATATGGTACCGACACTCCCGTAACAGGATGTACGTGGTATTTAATATCGTTCTTTTCGTGATCAAACCAATGACTTATATCTTTACCAGCATGGGCCAATATCGGTTTGACCTCTCGTCTGTTGGCCCAAATTTTGCAAAGATCAGTTAGATCATACACTCCATTATGATACGAAACCCAACAATCAATCTGTGTATTATGTAACGCAACTTCTGTCGGTAGAAAATACTCGATTGCCTCAGAAATATCATCTGTATCGTCTTTAAGAAATTCATAATTATCTTTTTCTTTCATCGAGAAAAACTGATTTACAGATGACATTTTACAAAATCCGATATATACGTTTCCTTTCATTGGAATTTGTCACCAACGATTTTCATTTGAGTAGATTGCATAACACGTACCACGTGATTTACAATGTCGTAAAATGACTGTTTGGAAACATTTTTTAAACTCGGGGAATATTCGTGATAAGATAATAATTTTATTTTAATACGTCACAACAAATATGATTGTTGTAATTTGATGATAACAAAGAGGTTAACATTAAAATGTTAACATTTTATTAAACATCAGATGCAGCAGTTGTTCACCTTCTTGATACTTTTACATATCTTTGTTATATAAATACATAAGAAACAATAAACATAATTCTTAAACGTGACCAAAAAATGCTGCTCAATAAACGACAAATTTCGCTACCTTCATGTTGTACAGATTTCATAAAAAACCTAGACGGATTATACACAAACTGGATAAATACAGTCAGAATCAATAAAGAAAAGACTTTGGACTGTAAAATATGAAGAATTGCACGAAACGCTAATGTCAAATGGATAGATATGGTAGTACTTTTGCAAAAACGAATTGGTTATTGTTACAAGTATTGAATTTTACTAGGAACTTTTAGGTTATATTGTTGGCTTCCTACGTTACCTACAAGCTGAAGGCAGTCACTGCATTGTGGCTAGTGCAGGCGATTGAATGGCTGCCTCGTCTAAAGAGTGCACATTCTGTTTTGCTGTAATTAATTTTACGTTACTTGGTGATTTACGCGTGAAATATTCCCTGCCTCATATAATTTGGTGAGTCTTTGAATACATTTTACTGACCTTTAAAAAGATGATTCATGTAGTAGGTGTGCTATTATAGTACTTTCGTTTCTAAGAAACGTGCTCGTAAATTTTACGGCCGGTTATTTATTTTTTGCTGAACGTCGTATTTAGTAGTTTTTCCCTAAACATACTTTAAGTCATTTATTAAATAATATAAAATGCGCACGTGTATACTCCTAAATAAATTTTCCAAATAAATCATGTATCTATAATGTACAGTAGTTGTCAGAACTAATACTGGGTTGTGACATACTATAATAGCATCTTATATTTACACGCAGAAATATCTTTGGATATTCGGAACGGAAAGGTTTGTGTAACTTTTCCATTTATTAAAAACATAAGTTTGTAACATCAGTTATACTTGATATTAAACTCTACAATTACAAATATGATATATAATCTAATTTTACTCATCTGTTTTCAATAAGATTAAAATGATCTAGTAATTAAAAGAGAGTAGAATTGAGATAATATGTATAACTTTTGATCATTTCCTGATAACTGCATGACCTATCATCAAATGATCGTGCAAAAGAGTTTTTCTTTTAAATTATTTGCCTTATTGTTAATTTATTGTTATGTATCAACTTCCGTGCCATATAATCTATCACTTTGATATCTTTTAATCTACCTTTAGTCTTGACAAATGGAAGGAATCTTTTTGTTTTGCCTATTTGTTAAGTTACAAAAATATGTACATTTTTATGTAAGATTATACGTATAATTAATATAATTAATCTAATAATTAATATATATTTAGACAACTAAAAGTAGTCTTATGTTACTTTCTAATTTGTTTATTTATGCTTCATTCTTTATTAAATTTGATGCATCCTTGTAGGATTATTAAAATCACCACATTAGCAATAGCAATACAAGAAATTTTGAAATGGAAAAAAGCGCGGACGGATTATTGTTTCGCGCAGAGAGAAATAATGGAGCAAATGAAGGAACATTGGGCATGGTATGTGTTAATGAAAAAGTGGCCATACTGGATGCAGGAGCACAATACGGTAAAGTGATAGATCGAAAAATTCGTGAATTAAATGTCCACAGTGAAATTTTGCCTTTGGACACATCTGCATTTACCCTTCAAGAAAAGGGTTATAAGTAAGATAACAAATTGTAATAGAATTAAAAACTAAATATTTATAAACAGAAATTATTTTAAACATAAATTTCTAGGGCTATAATAATCTCTGGTGGGCCAAGTTCGGTGTACGCAGAAGATGCACCTAAATATGATGCAGACATTTTCAGAATAGGAATTCCTGTACTAGGTATCTGTTATGGGATGCAAATGATGAATAAGGAATTTGGTGGTACTGTACAAAACAAGGATGGGCGAGAAGATGGTCAGTTTCCAATTGAAATAGATTCCAAATGCCTGTTATTTAAGTAAGTGAGTCCAAAGCAAGTGTTCTATTTGGTATTTTTATCATTGAATGTTAAGGTATTGAGAAAACGAATTATTTGTTAGGAGCTTGGAGAAAGAGCAAATGGTACTGTTAACACACGGAGACAGTATAGATAGGGTGGCTGATAGTTTTCACATTACTGCTAGATCGTCAAACTTTATAACAGGAATAGCAAGTGATAAAATGAATTTGTACGGAGTACAGTTTCACCCGGAAGTAGATCTCACACCTAATGGGAAGATAATGTTAAACAATTTTTTGTTTGGCATTGCTGGCCTGACTGGTAATTATACGCTTCGCGGCCGGGAGACACAGTGTATTCAGTACATCAGAGATACAGTTGGCAACAAAAAAGTTTTGGTAAGAAACAGATTTATAATTAGTACATAGGTAATTACTAGAATCCTTATTCCCCAAAAAGATTTACAAAGTCTTTAAAGTATGTAGTTTTTACGTGAAATTTAATGATTTACTTTGGAAGATGTTTAAAAATATAATATAAGGTATGACAAAATGTGGTTGTCAATTAAAATAGAAAAAAAAAACAATCATAGTTGTTAGTGAGCGGAGGTGTGGATTCTACGGTATGCGCAGCGCTACTACATAAAGCTTTAAATAAGGAACAAGTCATAGCTTTGCATATCAATAACGGCTTTATGCGGAAAGGGGAGACGCAATTTGTGGAACAAAGTTTGGCACATTTGGGAATTCGATTAAGAGTCGTCAATGCGGGACGCTGTTTCATGCAAGGAACCACGTCTGTTCCCTTAGATAATGTCACTCCAGTAGCCAATACAAATACTATAAATAACAAAGGAATATGTGGAACAGCAACTAGTCCAAGAACTAGATTAACTAAAATGTTGTGTGCAACAACTAGTCCGGAAGAAAAACGAAAAATCATAGGAGACGTTTTTGTCAGAGTAGCTAATGAAGCAATGGCAGAAATGGGTTTGAAGCCAGAAGAGGTGTTTCTTGGACAAGGCACTCTCAGGCCTGACCTTATAGAAAGTGCGAGTACATTAGCTAGTGGTAAATTAATAGTTGTAAATGCATTGTTCTTTCATATCTGTTAGAAGCAACAAAATATATTCACATAAAATATAAACACTTCTATCAGGTAAAGCAGATGCGATAAAAACGCATCACAATGATAGTGAACTCGTTAGAGCATTAAGAGCACAAGGTCATGTAGTAGAACCTTTAAAAGATTTTCATAAGGATGAAGTAAGGCAATTAGGATGCGATCTTGGATTACCAGCATCGCTGGTTGCTCGTCATCCATTTCCCGGACCTGGACTCGCTGTACGCATTCTTTGTGCAGATGAACCTTACATGGATAAAGATTTCTCTGAAACGCAGGTATTAAATCGATAAAAAAGAGAAATATACAGAATTCTCCTATCTTTTTCTAAGCTAATAAACTCGTAATTTGATTTCAGGTGATAGTTAAAATAATGGCAGAATATGAACAAATGTTGCAAAAGAAACACGGATTGTTAAATCGCGTAGAAAGTGCGACCAGCGAATCTGAACGTCAATATTTGCGACAGCTTTCGAGTTACCGGCATATTTCTGCAACGCTTTTGCCTATACGTAGCGTAGGAGTGCAGGTAATGTTTCAATCGTCGAATTTTACAATTGATGCGATCGATGCAATGATTAAAACATTTATTACACGATGCAGGGAGATAGAAGAAGTTACAGCTATGTAGTGGGTTTATCTAGCGAAGAAAATTTATCCGAGGGAATAGAATGGAAAGATCTGTTGTTCCTCGCAAAACTAATTCCACGAGTATGTCATAATGTAAATCGTGTGTGCTTCATTTTTGGTCCTCAACTACATCACCCTGTAACGGATATTACACCGACTCATCTTACGTCGAATGTGATAGCTACGCTTCGACAAGCAGATCATGTAGCAAACTTAGTACTAACTAACCACGGTTGTATGGGAGCAATCAGTCAAATGCCAGTAGTTTTAATTCCCATACACTTCGATCGTGATGCTGCTTCTCGAATACCCTCATGTCAACGTTCAGTTGTTCTTAGGCCATTCGTTACTAATGATTTTATGACTGGTACTCCGGCTGTTCCTGGGAAGGAATTGCCACTACATGTAAGTTGAATCGGACATAAGCATAAGAGATTAATTATCGATGCGGTAATATGTTTTAAAAATTGCGATTCCTTTGTTCGTAGGTGGTGAAAAAATTGGTGACCGAAATATCTTCAATACCCGGTATCTCGCGTGTTTTATATGACTTAACGTCGAAACCGCCAGGAACTACCGAATGGGAGTAGTAAACGCTCATCTTTGACTCACCCTTTTCTATTTTTTCACCTTCCCAGCGCGTAACGACAACAAAGTAAAAAATATATTAAAAAAAAAAAAGTATGTTCTCGATTGTAAATTAATATGTTACCTAAAGAATACTGGTACTGTGTTCAATGAAATTGAAGGTAAGTATCATGTTTGCTTGTAAATAGGTTTCTTATTAACCTCATTGTAAAAATATTAATTTATTAAATTCCGAAAATTTACATTACATCATTGTTACACTGCAAAAGGTTGCATTTGATTGGTGGTATCATGAGGTTGCTGTTATATTCAATTTGCATATAATGTTGAACGTATTTTACTGTTTTCCTATATGTCCCATGCCAAATGCAATTTCCAGTTTTTGTCATACATCTAAAAATACGAACATAAATAAGTTAATGTATTGTCTTTAATATCATTTTTATTTATCAATCATAACTGAGTAAAATGATATCTATTCCCTAAATCCTCTGTGTTATATTACTCGATATCCACCTATTACAAAGGTGTATGTATAAATCTTGCATAGTAGATTACCTATGCATGGTTTTCAGTAATACATGTAAATCTTCAATACGTCTCTTCTCCGGAAGCATGCTAAGAAATGTTGCAAGCGATAGAAAGTCTACTTCGTTCACGATTTTAGAATTAGTAACCCACATTTGTATTTGCATTTTTGCCTGCAACCATGTATTTTATACTTTCATTAATCGTACAAAAATTGTAACGGGTAACATAATCTAACGGATTATCGGGCATGCATTCTTTGTTCATTCATAAGAAGTACCTTATCGCTCTGACATTTTTTAAGCTATCCAACGCAATGTACCGATAAAAGAAAATTATCTATAATGATCGATAACAGTAAGAATTATGAAAACTACCTGTTCTAGTGGTAGATTAAGTAAACGATTTACGAGATCGATTAGAATATCTTGATGTTGATTTACAATGTCATTATCTTGCGAGATAGTAAAATTATGAGAAAGAATTGCCTCAGCTTCATCTGCGGTAACTTCGTTATTAACAGATTCGTTTTTCCTTGTACAAGGTATAAATTTTGCAATACCGACATCGGCCTTATTACTCGATATATTCTCAGATTCGCTCACATTTTTAACCGTCTTAGATGTCGTTTGTATGTTTTTCTTTTTGTTTTTAGAAATTGTTTTAAGATTTTTACCGCTATTTTTGTTTTTTGCGTTATGTTCTATCTTTTTATTGTGTTTTACATTTTCATTTTTCGTCGTTGCAGTATCACGACTTATTTCGTTCCTTTGCTTTTCCGAACGTTCTTCCTTTTTCACAGAACAATACATTTGGACATCGCGTCTTAAATCATCCGACAACGCGGCTAAAAAGTCCGGATCTACTTGCGAATAAGATATATTTTGTTCGTCGTAATTAATTTTTGCACAAGGTTGTCTGCTAATTGAAGATGTACAACTATTGTTATCTGTATTAATATTAATTTTGTTTTCACGTTTTTTAGCGCTATACTCGTTAAGAATTTCATTTCGTATGTCTTCGGGTAATTCTATCAAAACGGACATATCGATTTCTTGTATAGGTGGCATTGCCACCTTTGTTGGCCTTGAAATGCCTGCTTTAGTTTGTTTAAAAAAATGTTCATGATGCGTTTGTACATTTTTTTGAGATCCTCTTTCATTTGTCTGTACTACATCAACAACGATCGCTTGGTCTCGATTATTTTCTACTAATTTTTTATTCTGGTTAACGTTTAAAATTTCATTTTGTATTTCCTTTGGAAGCTCGAGAAGAACTGACTCGTGGATATCAGGCGGTATATCCAATTTTTTTTCGTTATTAATATTTTCGGGGGCTGACGCAACAGCGTTTAAATTTAGACCGAATTGACTTTGACCTTTATTACTCTTATTTGCTTCAACAGAATGATGAACCGTGTTACTTGGCTTGTTTTTAAGAAAATTTGTTAAAGTTGCATTGCGAGATTTAGTTTTTAATATTTCTAATCTAGATATTTGTATACCGATGCCTCTCGCATCTTCGGGTACTTTTTGCATTTGATTCCAAAGTATAATGACTTCCCTAAAGTAAATACAAAGAAATTATTGTTATTACTTCATGCAGAAGTACTAAGATAACTTTGTAACTTACTTTGTTATAATATCAACATCGTTAATAGGAGCAATAAGATTTTTTGATTTTGTTATATAATCGCACAATCCGTGTCCCATAAATTTTTCCGTTTCTTTCGGTGCTTCTTTCGCTCTGATCAAAAGTTTTAACGTGATACATCTACCTTTCGCATTGGCTTTACTTAATCGATTACACACTTCGCAACATAACTTTTTTAAAAAATCAATCGCGTCATCGTTACTTTCAAATCTTATCCCGTAATTGACCTCTGCGGACACAGATTTTCTAACATGTTCTAGATTAAGCTTCCCATTATCTATTCCCCGACACATGTTATATAATATTTCACCCGTTTTTTTGCCAAATTCTTTTTGTAACGTCGCTAATGGTATCTTTTGCAATTCCGCACATGTTCGAACATTTATATTGTTTAATTTATGCGTTGTTGTCCACCCAACCCCTAATTTAAATAATTAAAATTATTAAGCACTGTTAATCAACGTTATTAACATTTTTAAATATTTTATAGTTAATCCGATTCAAAATATTCTACCTGGTAAATCTTGTACATTGAAGCTACCAATACAATCGTTTATGTTTTCTTGCTGTATATAAAATTGACCATTTGGCTTTGCTTTCCTTGTTGCTAATCTTGCCAATAATTTATTATTCCCAAATCCTGTTGACACAGGACAACCTGTCTGTTCTTTTATTTCCTGTCTAATTACAGTTGCAAATTCCATTGGTGTTAAACAAGATTCTTCCATTATCTTTGTACAATCTGCATACATTTCATCGCAACTAACTGCTTCAATGTCTAATGTGTATGATGCTACGATATCATACAACATGTAAGAAACTTTTGTATAGCCTTCAAAGTTGTATGGTATTGTCTTTAAGTTGGGACATAGTTTTAGTGCCTCTCCTAAAAACATGCCATTTCGTACACCAACTTTCCTTGCTTCGTAGGAACAAGATGCTACCTCTGATAGTGAACCCTGTTCTTCATTTTTATTTATGGTTTGTTTATTATCGATACTTGCAGAACTTTTATTGCCTTTCGCATGTGTCACTGCAACAGGTAAGCCTTTTAACTCTGGTCTATCTCTAAGACCAACTGAGACAAAAAAGCAATCCATATCTATATGCATTATAATAGAACCCTGATTAACTTCTATCTTATTTTCCTCTTGTAAATCAACTGGTTCGATATTAAAGCTTAATTGAGATCCAAACGATAATCTGTCCAATCTTGTACCTTTTAATTCTTTTAACTTAGTAAGACCAGGGAATTCCCCATTGCTTTCATCTCTTAGTTCATTAACATAATCCTTGAAAGTTGTTCCCATTGTTGCAATATGATGTAATCGCGAATGATTATAAAATTCTGATATAAATTCTGAATTTTTTGTGGAAAGAGCATTTCTTGAAGTAGTTGGTAATATATGATTTGAAGTATCTTGATTCACAGAAGTATGTTTTATGGTTTCGATTTTATTATTATCTTTTAGATTATTTATTTCATTATTGTTTTGTGCATCATTATGTGTTTCAATATTAACACTTGCTTTATCTTCTTTATTTTTTATTATGTATTTTAATTGGGGTTGTACATTTGTACAATGAGAGTAAAGCAAATAATTTTGAAAATTTAGGACTCTATTAGCCTTTATACTATCCACGATCCATTCAGGTTTACATACAGGAACTGGATTTTGTTTTTGTTTATACACAAGGATCTTTGAATATGGTAAATTAGATGCAATAATATGAGTTGTTACTTTTGGCCTCATATAATGATGATATATACCTCCATGTGCCATCATTAAATGCCGAAGTTCATCTGCAGTTGGATTAGTATAGCCATTCACAAAAATTGCAATTCCTTGAAATAAATTAGATGTTTTCGTTCCTTTACTTGCTTCGTCTAGAAATTGTTCTTGTAATTTAGATTGTTTAGCAGCCATGTATCCACCCTAAAATTGTCCCTTTACATCTAAATCTAATCTATTTATTTATTTTTATTACAAAATTTGCAGCTTTTTACATACCCAATCTTCAAATCCATTTTCCCCCCAAGCTTCCCCTTTTTTCTTTTTTGCCATTATTAAAGATTTTAAATAAAATAAAACAATACTAAATTTTTGAATATGGAACTATCATGTAATTATCATTTTGATTAGTGTACATATAATTTGTGTATATATACAAATTTTGTTTTCTTTCGTATCATGAAAAGAATCCATTCTCGTATAACCTTATGAAAGTGAAATATTTTGTTAACACGGATAAAATTTAGAATATCATTTAAGTATACAAATCAAATATTTAATCTACGTTGAACATATATTGACATATAAACACAGAAATTATCCATATAAATCAATTCACAATACTATGCGAAACTATCGCGGTCATACATGTACGTATATAGTACATGACGATAGGTCACTTCAAGTTAACTTTATTAACTAGTATCAGACGTTTGATTTAATCGATTCTTAACAAATACATATTGCAGTAGCCTACTTATCTTATATTCAAGAACACATTGATATACACAAAAATAACTTTCTTCGTTTATTCAACAAATATTTTTACAATTCGAGTAGTACACATATATGAAACTATATGAAAGTATAGTAACCATACTTATTACTATTTTATTTATACGTTGTAATATTTAATTCGTATTTATAAATTTTATAAAATAATATTTATTGTACGCGTTGATTTGTAATTTCGTACTAACAAATCTTTATACGTATAAATATTATAAAATGATAAAATATACATTTTATAAAATAATAACGAATAAAAAATAAAAATCGTATCAAACGATTATTTATCTTGCAGAGAATGTTTGTAGAATGTATTTCGTATAGTAACAAGAAAACTTGTACTACAACATAAACTATGTGTATGATTTGCTATATAATGTATTGTAACCTAACGAATTTTTGATGAATTTAAAAATTCGAGTATACACACCAAAGTAACCAACATTTGAAGAATAAAACAGATTAACGTTGTGCGTGTATGTATAAATTTATAATGTCTACCAGATATTAATACACAAACATAAATTAAAAAGATAAATATTCTTTTGTAAGCATATATACTTTATAAAGGTTAAATAGGAATTGAAAGCTATATAAAGAAAGCTATTAGATAAGAAGTACTTGGAATATTTTTGTTGACATTAATTCATTACCTGTTTGTGTATTAATTCTAACTGTTAAGCAATATATGTTTTATAAAAATTGTTTAGTTGTTCCATGAAAACAAATGTCAAAACCGTATGTGGACCTAAGCGGCTATAATAAGGAAAGAAGCCTTTCCACAATGAAAATATCCCTTCATTTCGAGATACTCGAATTATGACATCTATTGCACCTTTAAATTCTGGTTTACCATCCACAATTTTCATGTTCTGAATCCTGTAAGCCCATTAATAATGCAAAGTGTAAATTGTTAAATGCAAAAAGCATTTTTATAAATGTTTCACTAATTCAGTTTTGTACAATATTTACCTTGTTTTAGCAATATCAACTGGCATAGAAGCAGCAGTTGTTACTAAACCTGATATCATAGAACTTACAAAGTGCAATGAAATATTGTCTTGAAAATATCCTAGCCAAATATATAAAAAAAAAGGTCATTTTACCCTAATGTTACTTATTTAGTTTTTACTTATTTATCATGTCTACTAACCAGTCTTAAGTAAAGATTCTTTAGATTGAGAATATGATGCCAATTGAGCTGCATTTACAACCATAGCTCTTCCCATTGTTGGAATAATACCTCTCCACAAAGCTAAAAAGCCTTCCTCTGTAGCTATTCGAAATAATGCATTAAATGCATGTTTATAATTGCGTCTTTCAGCTAAAAATACAATATTGCTCAGAATTGTAAAATCTCTTATTCAATATACATCTAACAATGAGCATACCAATAGGCAGTCTACCATCAGCAGTCATTCTAATTAAGGCAACTTCTGCAGGAGTACCTACAATTGCTGCTACACAACCAGCAGTACTACCTATCAATGCTTTCATAATAAAATTTGGTTGGCTGTCTTTTCTGAATACAAGAAATAGCAAATGATTGATGCATGCTATTTTTTTACATTGATACCATTTAATTGACATATACTCACGAAGCTAGTTCAGACAGCCAATTATATACACCAAGTCTTGTAGTTGTATATGAACACTGACGTAATAAACCAGCAGATAAGCCTGAATAAAAAGCTAACATACCCTCATTTTTTAAAATCGAGGATATTACATTTAATGTAGATATTCTAGTACCACTTAACTGCATTCGATTTTTTATCAGATCTAATGGTTGAACAACACATGTTGCAGCCATTCTAGAATAAAGTAATCAATCGAATATAAATTCCCCAATCCTCGATAAAAGTTACGAAGTTACTTTTGTATTTTAATATTTTAAATAACATCTAATTTTTTCCTTTAAAATATTTAATATAAATAGTTAATAAAAGTGCTTAATATTACATATACACACATTGAATTAGTGTTCTATAACTTAAATTAATACTTGAATGAAAGCAAGTGTTTAGTAAATCAATCTTTTATTTGATCTGTTTAATATCTATCCATATTATTTCCTAAAACATTATTTGTAAAACGATAAAAATAACAAACCCTGCAGTGCCCCCAAAAAGGAAATTTATTGAAGTTGGCACTGTCTTGTGGTTGCTCATTTTGACAGTACTGTATGACACTTGTATTGACAACTAGATGGTAATTTTTAAACTAGGAATGACTTGAAATGTTGCGAAAAGAAACGTGATATTTACAAAATTCTAGAATGAGGAAAACAAGCACCATTTCAATGTCGGACTAGTCGAGAGCACTAAAATAACCTAAATGAAAGATTATCAAATTTCCGAGAAATTTCATTCTTCGCTTATCGATATTAAATTGTAAAATTTTTGTATCTTAGCGACATCTTTTAGCATAGGATTACTTTTGATACCACACTTGATAAAGAACATTTCCAACGATCACCAAATTGGAACGGTAATAGCGAACTACTGATAATGACAGACTAACGCCGATAATACAGAATTCCTTTGTTTAAAGTTGTATATCATTTTTTATATTTGAATAATACATTCGAAAAATAAAAATTTCGAATGTAAATTACTATTAAGAACACAAATGTAACGAGAGAGCGAGAATAAAAATGCGCGTGTAAAAAAGAGAGAAAACAGGAGGCATACATATTTGAACAGCTCGCAAACTGACCATCGAGTAATGTTCATGCAAAAAGTGGTACATCAATGGTCCTGTTCACGAACTCAAAACGCGTATAAGCCGAAAAATATATATGCAAGATAATAGGTCTATTCTATACCTTGTCAGTGGTTCTATATAAACCACCAAATGGATTTATACCAACAGAGCATTTCCAGAGTCACAGTCGTTAACTCGTACGACTTTCTTTATTTTTTGATAGAAAGAAAATAATGAAAAATAAAAGTTTGAGGCTCACCGTCGTTGATTGCTTCTTGCTATACATGGAAGTCGTGTAAAGGAGAATGGTTGATCATATCGAAGGATGTCAATTCCGAAAATCTGTCGTAAAAGATATAATTCAATAAGTTATTAATATTTCCCATAAGAATGTATCGTTAAAAAAAGAATAAAAATATTATTTAAAACATATATGTGGAAAAATTTGAAAAAAAATTTGTTGGCGTACCCACGCCAAAATTCAAAGTTATTCGTATAAAAATCGCGATGAAATTATATTACGCATTTCTTTAATGCTATGTTTAATATTTTAAAAATCTTACCACAGTCACTTTGTTTCCACACATTATGCACTTCTGTTACATTTCCGAACACTATACACTACTAATTTACAAAATTTCGAAGAAATTATTACAAATTTACGTACAAGGAACGCGTATCATCCACGAACATTTAGCAACCGAATAGATAAAGGTCATGTGACTACTACGTATAACATTCGAAATATCCTACAAAACTATAAAAGTACCGCTAAAAATGTGTGAAAAGAAAATCTGTTAAAATGTATTAAAAATATTTAATCATAATTATAATCTGCGTTTTTAGAAAATTTTGAATGATATTTTTTCTTCAAATTAATATCGTATTACAAAATTACGAATTTTTTAAAAATACATATAAGTAAGTTAAAAATAAAATTGATTTAAAAATGAAACCAAGGGAAGTTAAATAAAAATATAAAATTAATTTTTTTTATCATTCTTAAATTTGTTAAATATCGTATAAATTTTTGCAAATTATTTATGAACTTGATTGACTGATATGGTAGGCCGCGATAGATTAACGTATTTTCTTACCGACACGAATTGCCTATTAGTTTGATTGGCTTATGTGTGTGTGTATGGTGGGAAAGAATTAATAACGAACTGTTACGACAAAATTAACAAAAAGTACTGGGAAGAAGTTCTTTTCCACTAACAAGCAAGTTAAATGCGGTTATATAATATACGTAAATGTACATACAACGTTCTAAAGAAGAAAGTATCGATAATATCGATCAAAAAGTGAAACAGCGTCGTGAATATTGTTGTGGTCGCGATGCCAGTGAATGTTACTTTTCCTTGTTAATAGTTTTTCTGTTTAAATAAGAATTTATGTGACATATTTATCGAAAATATTGTCTGTTGTTACAATGTGATGTATTTTTGTGAAGTGTAGTAGCATGGTGTTAAATTTGAAAGTTCGGAAAACGTTATGTTCGGAAGATATTACGTAGAATATGATTTACGATTTATATGGTTTACGATCGAAATTTTTAATAATGTCGATAAAAGATTTTTCCAAAAATCTTTTAGTAAACGTAATCACCCAATTTTTTTCGATTTTCTGTGCCTTGTTCCGATCTTTGTTCGTAATCGATCTTTTTCTTTTCATCGAAATATATTTCGAACGTAACGGAAAATAGTGTTTCGATCGTATAATCGTTCGTAACGAAGCAGAAATATGGCGTTGGATAACTGCTTTCATCTTTATAAAAGGAATGGACATCGTTTCAAAGGTATTTTATTATATGTTCATATAACAATTTAATATGTCTCCCATGTAAAATTTGTCAGTTTAAAGCAGATGTACTTGAACATTTTAAAGCATATAGCAATTTAATATGTTTTCCATGTAAAGTTTGTCAGCTTAAAGCAGATGTATTTGAACATTTTAAAGCACAATAGAAATAAAAGTATAGCGTAATATGTAATAGAATTTAATAGAATTCAAAGATAATAAGCATTGTTTATACATGTTTCGTTTATAATATATATTGCTACGCAGTGAAAGAAAATTTAAGGCGATAATTTTTGTAATTATTTTTATTTGTTCTTTTCTTTTATAATGAGACGAGTGAACAAAGGATACCAATTGTATGATGCACATTGTACAGTAAGCAGTTAACGATATTTACAAATGACTTTAGTAGGTTGACTTTTTTTTTTTTATTAATTATGTTCGCTGCCCAGTTTTTCGTATTATATTGGAAAGTATAATATACGCATTAAAATAATAGGTTTTTCTTTAAACAATCAATGAAGAGTTTGTATATACGATAGGCGCCTGTTAGCTGTATTATTTAAAAAAGAGATTTTTAAAATTGTTCGCTAACATTAGTACTTTCAAAATTCCGTTAATCGCTGATAATATAATTATAAATATATTCTATCATTTTCGAATTATACGTCTCTCTTTTCGTATTTGTACAATATTTATATTTGCAATTGATATAATATAACTCGACATTTGACATCCCTGGAAAGACCTATACACAACGATAGATGCAAAATTGTAAAATATTTAGTACTCTTGGTATCTTTATATTCGATTGGATCGGAACGCGACTTTAAGATGTTTTGTAATTTGATACCGACTTTACGTGGAAAACCAGTGGCGTAGTTACGCAAAAATCACACCTCTAGATTATTTTTCCCGATATGCAAGAGCAGTGAAAAAAATAAATTTTTACTTTAAGGCCGTTGATTAAAAGTTTTCTAACTAGTTCGATTAAAAAATGTACGATAAAAAATTTAATTAAGTTTAGCTAAATTTTCGGTAATTTGATATTTCTTTGTATTTTGGCATAAACTTATTGCCTAAGTTTATACAGGGAAAAGGTAGATACATCCGCTTGTATGTATACGCATACGTATAAGTATATGTTTATACATACGTATACTAGTAAATTTATATTTTATCATATCTAACGTGAACGATAATTTCCCTTTTCTATTTTATTTCGAATCTAATAATTAAATTTAATTGGTACGCCGATTTGTAATCGTGTATGTTTGAACATAGCTTTTCGGATTCGTCAACTCGAAGCACACTTACGTGCGCATTAAAAAGTAATTGTATTTTGTGCTTACTGACATTTTCGTACATGTTAAAATGACAAATGTTCTTTTCGAAGTTTTTCGAAGAGTGTAAAAAGTAGTAGAATACGTGAAATAGGTTAGATAGTATTACAATATGTTTAGCTTGAATTATAAGGTGAGGAGCATAGAAACAGTATAACAAAATATATGAAATATTTATAAAACAGCTGCTTTCATTGACATTTGTGAAATTCTGATGTTGTAATAAATGCAAACATCGTATTTGAATTTTCATCTAAAATTGCTACTGCACAATAGACACGAATGATTATTTAGAAAATATGTATCGGTATTGCATCATTGTTTGTGCGTTGAAGGAATAAGAATGTACGTATACAGGTCAAACGATTAATCATCCTGGTTCATTTTTCATACTCGTTCAAATAAAATTATACAGGTGTGTCGAATCGTTGGTATTCGGTATCGCGAATACAGAAGAAACTTTTGTTTCTCGTTTCACAAATGACGATGAAAGGTGAACGAATACAATTGTGCATGGCCAAAGCCGTGCCTTATCACATATTTTTGATAGCGATATATACTATTTACATTGAATTTTTTCAAGAAATACTTACAATTGGATACACCCCGCTCGTAATAGTCTCATATGATACATTAATTTTAAATCGATCATTTAATACCTTCCATTAACGTATTCGGTTACTTAGTTTGAAACCAACATCGTTTCTCAATGCGATGATAAATGCTCAAGTTATGGCTACTTTACAATAACTACTATCTAATTTGGACGTCGGCGGATACATCGAAATTTCTTGTGCACATTATTGCTACGCTAGAGTTTAAAACGTTTTTCTCCGATAGTTTCAAAGTCTTTCGATGCGAGAAAGAAAAAGAGAAAGAAATAAGAAACGATCTCGCGATATTAAACGTTGAACGTCGTTTCCATGTTAATTCGCGAACGTGATACGTTTTGCTGATTTACTTACAGCAATATTACCTTTAAATAAATCGTGTAATTTCTCTAACTAGGTTTAATTAATCACAGCAACACGTATGCGTGTGGAATGACATAAGCAAAACCTTTTCGAAGGAGAAAATATGTTTCCGGTAGAAATTTGAAAGATTCGCGATATAACAGTCGGTTAAAAAATACCTCTCAGATCAAGCATCTTCGATTGGTTATTTAAATTAGGTTAGATTATGAAAAATCCACGAACGATTTACTTCGCATACGATTTTTAGATTAAAATTTATGATTGTACACGTGTTTCGTTTTAGAAACTCGGATCAGACAGCAAGGTGTCGAGTCTCTAACTAAATATAAACGTTTAAAATGAGCAAGGATTATAGTTTATCAACGATGGCGAGCTCCTCGTTTTTGCTCGTTTCGACAATTATCGCGCGATTGCTCTCTTAAGACAAAGACAATTTCGATCGGCTCGTTCTTAATTATCCTTTGAATTTAAGTTTAATTAAAAAATAAATAGATATTCTAGGTTTTACAGGATCGAAATATGTATACATATGTAGGTAGGTGATAAAACACGAACGAATCTGAACACTTAAAAAGGAGTGGTTTTGCTTCTCGTTGCTCTATTTCGCTTGTGAAATTTGTCTTTTCCTTTTGTTTCGTAAACAAACATTTTACCTTCCGAGTTATGCTTTTCTAAGGCTTGTAACCCTGATATGTTTCTGGAATCGTTCAGCTATCAAAGGGATCGAATTTCAGCGACCGAGATTCTGGAAGTCGACGCAAAGTGCTAAATGCTTGATGCAAAGACGCGTTATCAGCATCACCGGCACTGAATCGGTGCGGTAATTTATTCTCGGGATCCCACGTGGAGTTTGTCGGTTTAAACAAACGAGGAATGTGTCGTTCTCCATGGTTGTTGCCGAAAACGAAATTATCGTTTCCTGAAACGATAACCTTTGGGTATCGAGCCTCGATAAGGAAACTTTGGAGAATTTTTTGACTGGTTACCTTGCGAAGGGGGCGGTGATTGCGGCGGTGTCCCAACAACAGGTGACAGGGGTTCGTACGGCGGCGGCGGAGGGGAGGATGGAGACGGTGTCGGGGAGGGTGGTTGCCTCGAGAGAGTATCCGGATCGAGTTCGAGAATTCGCAGAACTCTTCGAGGATTCGCACGAATCCAGGATTCGAACAAGTCCACAGGCCAGTCGGTTTGCGTAGAGGCATCTGATATTCTTCTAGGGGGATCCCAACATATAGCATCCGGTGGATGAGACGAACTTCTCGCCAGAACGCCGCTCCCGCGACTCGCGGGGGTCGGTAAATTCGGGTTACTTTGGGGCGAACATGCTAATATTTGTAAAGCTTGAATCGCATTTCTGACCTATTTTGTACGGAAATAGAAATGGTTAAAAATTTCGATGACTTTTATCAAACGAAAGACACTTTTACGTACCTCGCAACTCAGCGTAGCGACGTCTTGATGTAACGTAGAAAATTGCGTGTCGAGTCTTTCTACCGATCCTCGAATATGTTCCTCCATTGATTCTTGAGCGATTACTTGAGCCGTTCTTCCTCTTACTAAAACTCCCCTTCCGGGTCTCCTTGCTTCTCGGTATTCGTCCCTGTTGCGTACGACGATGCAAGGATACGTTAAGATATTCATTCGTCGAGAGCAAGACGAGGTGATTGGCGAAGGTGAACTTACCTGAATTTAGCGTGCCTTGGACTCGAAGACGTATGTAAAGGTGATTTGTTCGGTGGTGATAAAGGCGAAGTCTCCCCTTCCTCAGGCACATTTTCGTCGTCTTCGCTGATCGACGGTAACGTTAGCGATGGTCCGTTCATGTCCGACTCTTGCTAAAAGATACAGATAATCGCGGAACGTTCGTGTCAATACGATTCTCTTTGCTTTTTTACGCTTCCTTTCCATTCGTTATATTTTTATTATCGATATCGATTGTTACCTCGGCTTCGTATCCCTCTCGTAAATTGTAAGTGAGATCGTGCTGTATGTCATTCGCAAATTCGTGTTGATACTCGGGATAGAGTCGAAGCACTTCGACTAATCCATGCATATGTATGCACTTCAAATCGCAATAAGTTAACGCTTTAACGTCGCAGCTCGATTTGACAACGACATCTGCAGCTCCTCCACCACCTGTTCCACCCCCGTTGCTGCCGTGTTGCAGGTGAACGTTTATGTCACAGCCTACTAGGTCACCTTTGCCTTCGAACAAAATTTATTTCAGCATCTACCTCGATAGTCGAATCAAAGGGACGTAACGAATATTGCTGTATCCTACCTAAAATCGCAACGACCATATTGTTTTGCACAACTTCCATGGAACCGTTGCATAAATAATATATATACGAAAGTGCGTCTCCTTTGTGAACCAAGAATTCACCGGGGGCACAAAAATTATTTTTAATACGAAGAGAAAGTAGTTTGAGACAACCCTGAGAAGCAGCTTCGAATATCGGTAAATTTAATATCTCGCGATGTAAATGCATCGAAACGTCTCCCCTGAGTTCCTCCGGAAACTGTTTAAGGGTCTAAAAGCATCCACACGTTAATCTTGCATACTCGTGATTAGGGTAGTAACGTTTAGCGTATTGGCGCGACGCGTTACGATCAAGCCACAGTTACATATGCACGTATGTATATCGGGACGCATAGTTTACCTCGTGAACGTTTAGCGTATTGGCGCGACTCGTTACGATCAAGCCACAGTTACATATGCACGTATGTATATCGGGACGCATAGTTTACCTCGTGTATATCGATACCGTGATTCAAAGACCACATCGTTTGGAAATAATCCTGCATTCGCTGTTTCAGTTCTTTGGGGATCTGATGCAATACGAAAAAATCCTTGAGATCCCGTAATTTTGTTTGATATAGCGATCGTCTAGAGTAAATTCTTTGAATAATCGCTGTCACGTTACCAAACACCACGGCATGCATCAGAGCTGTAGCATACACGATACGTACAATATGGGAATATTTCCTATTGTAAATTTCCATTCAAATTTATTCCGTATTAATTAACAACATTTGCCCCTAATACACGTGTATGCAAATTCTTAGCGAACAAACAAGCGTGCAGCAACTGATAGTTGATTACCGAGTAATTAATTGATAATCCTTACGGAATAACGTATAACATATTGATCGATGATGATTACTGACCACCAATGAGCATCGTGCAAATGGAGAAGAACTTTTCGAAGAACGTATTGGCTGACACATTTCCAAATCCTACCGATGTTAAGCTACTGCAAGTAAAATACAACGCCGTGATGTAACTTTCCGCGTGAGTTACATTTTGCACGGAAATTTTCAATCTTTCCGCCAATGTGTGAATCCAGCCTGCAAAATGCACTCGATCAAAATCGATTCGCAAGTTGATTATTTATCATCCTTCGTCAAATACAAAATCGGGCTACTAGCAACCTCTTTATTATTATTTTTTTATCGAACGAAGTAGCGATAAATATCGTTCACAAGTATGCCAAAGTCGATAAAATTCTTAATATACACGAGCATCTTCGATCGCGTTATTAATAGAAGGTGTACTTTTAGAAGATGAATAACAGATCGAATCTCTGTAACGAATCCGCGTCGTGTCTCCTCCTTCAGCTTTTTCATCGGACGTTATTCATTTACGCGAACGGATTAGACGCGAACGGATTAAGCAATAGCGCAACAAGAGGGTATGCCCAGAGGCAAACGTTTGCAGTTAAGTTACGCGATACGCTTTTCCGTGAGAGAAAAGTTTGCAGACTAACGCGAATTCAGCTTTCACCGAGCACCGTTTCCATGCAGAATGCAAAGCTCTCCGAAAACAAGTTCTTTGAAATGAGCCACGGGAGACCAATTTGTACATCTAAGCACGTACTGCTGTACGTGGATGTACGTAGACAGTAGGCTATTACGCACAGGTGTGCTTTGCTCGAAACGCGTACGTTTCTCTTTAAAAGTCTCAGCTTTGACTTGTAGGCATTCGAGTTTCTCGTCAGCTCTGATTTCGCTAGTGAGTTCCATGGATTTGTATTTTGTAGGAATGGTATCTTGTACATGAAAAATCCAACTTACCGAGATCCCAGTCATTATCGTTTCCTAATCTTTCTTTTTCTGCGATAACGAACCAGATACAAGCCAACCAATGTGCCACCAGGATGAAAAACAGCATTAACATGGTCAAAATTACGGCGCTGTACTGCGAATATCTATCCATCTTTTGAAGTAATCGCGCGAGTCTTAGCAATCTTGTTAATTTTAATAAATGAATGTTACTGTGTCCCGATTCCTATGGTAAAAATATGCTATTAATAACACGTGAAATATATCAGTCGTGATTCGATGCTAACTATCGATTGGTTTGAAAAATAACGTTGGAACATCGATATTCAACCATTCTTATGTATAATCACGATTTCCCGTACGCTACAAACTTACGGGGGCTAGATTGCACCATTCATCGTCGAGATATGTCGTTCGGGGTGCGCGTTGGAATCCGTATTTTAGAGAGAACACGGTGACGCGAGGAATCGGTATGTCGTTCAATTTAATAACGCATCGACCTTTGCTAAACGAACTTCATTTACAACTCGTTTCCGGATATCGTCTAGAGATAGAGCATCTCGTACGCGTTTCTTCCTCGCGTTCCTCGGCAGGGCATCGAGATTTCTCTCATTTGTAAAAGAAACTATTCGCGATCGACGTACAAATTTAATAGAGTCACTTCAAGCTAATTCGAAGCTCGCGACACTTGTAAATCGTATAAAAGTCTGGTCTTTACGATGCACCTTCTGGCTCTGTTCATTTCTCTAGTCTGCGATAGTTAGCGATTACTCACCTCGCCGCTGTAAACGTCAGATGCATAAAGAAAATCAAATGGCAAGGCAGCGACAAGATCGACCATAAACCAGCCCTTTAGGTAGTTCACAGCAATACTTTTGCTGTTGCTCACGACTTCACCTTTCCTGCTTACATACGTCGTTCTAAAGTTCAGTACGATATCTGTGGATGAAGATGATTTTATTGTTTTCCTTCGACGATTACAATCCCGCACTTTGGACATTTCGCCGGGTACGAATCTAAGCAAGTAGAAACGTTGGAGTTAGAAGTTCACGGTTCGCGTTTCTATCAAAGAGACAAACTACTCTTACACTACGCTTGTCCATTCCCCTCTATTTCCAAGTTTCTCAACACTCGGAAACGCATCGCGTTCTAGAACTTTATCTCTATACGATGAACTGCTTTTAATCTCGTTGGTAAACTGGATTTCTGTAGGAAAATTCGCTCGTCATGCTCGTTTAGCGCATCGGGTAAGCAGAGTAATTTCATATAGAGTTAATGCACGTACTAGATTTTTCGGTCGAAACAAACGCGACGAGTGGAACAACGTCGCGAAGAAGTCATCGAAGGATATAAAGCTTGCGACAGTGTGCTCGCAAATAAAATTGCGATTTCTATCTTCAAAAAGAGACGCGATCTCGTCGAACACCTGTGAAGGGCTTCTCTTACCTGGGACGTCGTTACTCGATATTCAGTCGAGAAATAAATCAATTCGGTGTTTGTACAGCGCGAATGTCACGTAACTCGTCAACGATGATCCGTGAAGTTTAGCACAATTTATCGTGAGAAATTATCGTTTTATTCAACCGAGTTTGTACGAAGGAATAACAAATCCGCGAAGGAAATTAGTATAGCTGTAGTCGTAACCGTAGAGTATCCGACAGACGGATCGGAAACAGGGAGAGAAAGAATCGTTGCTTTCGAACTTAACGAGCTCCTCGAATCACCAATTGGATAAAAAGAGTGCCCTTCTCGTTTCTTCTCGGCTGAATTGCTGCTTTAAAGCATTACCAATCGATATATCGAATATGTATATTAATTTTGGGCCGGTCGTGATGAAAATCGGTTCTTCTCGGTGCTCAATTTTTACGGTCAGTCAGCCGGAGAAGAAAGAAAGAAATTGACAGAGCGATACCCACCGATTATGAAGAGCGCTTCGACAACAACGTCACTGACCATTGTAGGCCTATCGATGTTAATGAAGCTCGCATTAAAAGGGACGACGATTGCCACGTAAAAGGTTGCGAGTAGTATTAACCAGTCCCAGCAAGATTTGAAGCCACTGTAATGGCTTAGAATAAACTGAGACTTTTTGATTCCCGTTGTTTTATACTCTGGCAATGGCGCTGCAGTGGAATGCAGAAGATTCTACAATAACAGGTATACGATGCTTTTACGATATTTCATATTTGTGCAGAGATGTGTAACGTTTTTACGGTAAATAGGAGTTTTGCTTGTTCTCGGAGGTGTGGTTGTATAGCGGAAGATAAAGCACTTACATTATTCAATTTCATTTTATGCTTATTGTCCTGTTTGTAATGGCCTGATAATTGATAAAGGACGGCGCGACTTCTTCTTCTGCCATAATTAGCTGGCGGTGCCTCCGGATCGAGACCGCCATTTGCATCTGAAATGTAATTGTACCATCGCCGTATACGCTTCTTCCTATCTACAGTTCTAAACTGTACGACGTGTGCGATCAACGGGTTCGGGGAGAATGTATATTTGTACTTAATTATTAGATAAAAGCGTGAACGTTGTATCGAACAGTTTTTCCATCTTCGATATTTATTTTATCGAAAAAGGAAAATAGCGCACACTGTAAAAATACCTTTCATTCGAACGAAATATGTACATACGTAGCTTTTCTAGGTCAATTTTGTAAACGACTAACACGTGCAATGCCATTACGCGTAAATTCTACAAGAAAAGCAAACTATTGGAAGCTGTTGGCTGGCTTTTGATTTGTGCTCTTTGCTGTTTTGCTTTCAGAATAATGTTGCATTAGGTTTTACGTGCAGCGTGTAGCGTGATCGCGGTGTAGGAAGCACGAAACGTTAGATACGTTGAAAAAGTATGTACATTGGGAACGTTTAATCCATACCCGATGTATGGTCCGTGCTCGGATACTTTGGAATGCAATTCATCAGTCACGTCGATCGAAATGCATTCCAGAGAAAATCGTTTCGTCAGACTGAGTTCGGCAGCGAAGCTTGGCTAGAACTCACCACTATCGTGCAACTCACACAGCTGAAGGTTCTTCGTATGTGTAATATCCTTATGCGAAGCCAGAAAGAGAACGACGTCGCCCTTTTCGTTTTTGATCGGAACAATATCGAGCAAACAGTCGAATGGACTTCCTATAATCAAAATTACGTTCTCGTTACCTTTCCATAATCGTTCAAAAACTCCAAACGAAGCGTTAAATTCGTTTTGTTAAATTTTAACCGAGTTTTATTTTTAGACAATCGAACGTACGAAAGGAATAACGAAAGCTCGTATCGAAAACATAGACAGTTGTGCAAATATAGCAAAATCGATTTGATCGAATCTATTATCTCGATTAAATGTATTCTCCGCTCTTCTTGCATGCGTTTGCATCGTACCATTGTGACTCATAACGTTGAATCATTGTTCCTATCGTTATGGCGTTATAAATCGTACGATCGTTTCGCGTATTCGATTTTTGCGAATGGAGCTTAGGAAATTTCATTCTTACAATTTTGTTTCTTCGCAGATTTCAACGAAAAGACGTAGCGGTAATAGGAAATATAATAGGAAATACATTTCTCGGAGTTATAGCCTCTCGATCGAAATAGGTCGGAGTGTATCGCGAAATGTGCAAAGCTTACCGTTCTTTTTATAAAATACAACTTCCATCTTCAGTTCTGTTTTGCTCTCGAGGCTCTTGTCGATCATTGCTCTTTCCTCTTCTTTCGTTTCCGGGCCATAGAGGAACTTGCAAGCGCAACCCTTTTGCATGATTTGCGCTCGCGCGAATCCTGTCAGCTCACAGAATCCGTCAGAGCAATAAACGATCGGGTAGAGCGCCGGAACCTGCGCATTTCCCAGCACAAAATTGCTGTCTGTCAACAAAAACGAACACTCCATTAAAGGAAAGAACTATAACGACGTAAGCAACAACAGCACCGTTTGTTATTTTGCTTGAATAACTATACGCGAATTTTCATTCTGAGATACCTCGCGTGCCTTTTATCCTGTTTGTTATCCCGAGATGCGACGATGGGATGAGGATATTAGATTAATTTTTACGAATTTGACAATTATCGTCATGCGTATTACTTTTATTCTGGATTACCGTTCATTTTGCAATGTCACCACGACGAATCGATCGATTCGACGACACGGTATTGGAAAGTGGAGCCGAAGGAGAACGAGACGCAAAAATCTGATCAAACTTTCAACCCTATGAAACTGTTTCATTCAGCTTTATTTGTCGACGAGAGAGTCTTGCGCGGCCTTCGTTTAATTTCTTGCCGGAAAGAACTCGCTGAAAGTTACGCGGTACTGGAGCGCACTTATAAAAATTGCGGCAAGTAAACAAGATTTTGATTATTACGTGCGTATGATGCATGATGCAAGAAGTTGATGCATGACTGCATCATATGCTACAGTTCATTGGTTGATAGCTTTGTCAACGTCTCTGACGTCAGGCATAATCTCTTTCAGGGTGACGACGGTACTATTTTTAATTTTATGGTCACCCCTAGAAACACTTTCATCTTTTCTCAGCCTTGCGAGATTACGACTGTCGACGCTTCCTGTTCTTCGAAACAAAATCAATGATTTTATCAAAGGGGTTTGATTAAACGTTATCTCGTTCCAATCGACGTTCCTGTCTCGACCATTGTCAAAGTTAAGGATTAACGAATGCAGGCACGTGACGTTTCTTCAAATAGACGTTAAACCGTAGCTCTTTTCTCGGTGGATGAGCACGTCTAAACAATCTCGTGCAACTTTTTTGCTGTCAGTAAAGCGGATCATGGTGATCGACGATTAAGCCACCCTTTATGCAGCGAGGAAAATAGTCATTGTCACATGTTCGGTGGGGAGTCGAGCTGCGAAGGGTTGTAAGATAAAAATATGATTTAGGGGTAAAGTTTGAAAACTAATCGGCATTTTATTTTGCACGCCATTTTTTCTTATTTACGCTGCATTCGCTATCTTTCTTCGACAACTGCATTTAAATGCTCGGATAAACAGAACTCGAGTCATTTTTTCGTTATGCCATCTAAACGTAATTTTCGTTCGGATAAATATCTCTTTGATTAAAGTTTAGAGTAGGATTGCCATATTCTGACACGTTTATTTTCTCTTCGCCTATGTGTATTTACGTATTTCCAATAAATATACGTCTGAAATTATCTTTCGAATTTCCAGTTCTACTGTCCGTAGATACACTGACATGTATAAACTGTTGACCACGAGAACGACAGAGTTTACGATCATCACATCAGCTGCTAAAAGCGGCGTAAACGCTATAGTTTCAGTCGAGTCTTGACAAAGACTAATGGAGTCGATTGTCTTACGTTCATCCCGTGTATACACGCGAAACATTCGAAAAACGAAGATCGGTGCTGTAAGACTTTGTTATGATCAGCGAAAGGGTTGAAGTTTCTTTAAGGATTCTAATATCGATAAATCATCGATGAAAAGAATCGCAGCTGCTTGCGACTGTACCGTCAGTCGATACGTTGCACGAACACGTAAATTGGTTTTGGGTGCAATTTTTATAAATTCGTACGAGGAAAGGCCGTAATTCGTCGAATAAATCGAACATACCGCGAATAATCGGGGAGTATGGGGAACGTAGACGGAGACCACGAAAAGCGCATTTTATGCAAATATCAATTTTACGATAACCGGTATGCACGGGAGAGAAAATTTATCTGGATAAAACAAACAGGGAGAGAAGCTTTGCTCACTCTTCTCGACTATGCGAAAATCGCATTCGATTGTGCGAATATCTCAACGCTTGTGTACACTTACCTGCGTATACGTGTAGTTCCTAGAGATTTATACGAATGTAAATTAGGATGTTGCACATTTCTTGCGTTGGGGCGTTAATTAAATTTGAAATATGAAACGGAGATACTTCACTCGAGCGTAATAAGGTTGTTATTAAATAAGAAGTGCTACTTTATTCCGAGTAGGATTTCAATTTTCCGTGTAACGTCGATTAAGAAGTATGATTAACAGTGGCCAGTTACCTTCTGATACGACGTCGTTTTAAGCCGATTAAATAATAGTATCGTACAAGGCGAATGAGTTTAAATAATTCATTTCTCGTATAAGCATCTCTTTGCTGCTTTTCAGCGACATGCAAATCAGAATCGGCAAGAACGACGCGATACGTAGCGCTTCAGGATAATTCGATAAAACTCGACCGTAATTTAATCGTGTACAAATAGTCGGAGAATATCTCCGGAACTGTAACCGTATTCGGGTAGACTAAATATCGCGGATTTACGTGTTTTTTCAGCGTTAATTGGAAAAGTGACAACTACACCGTAGGTTCCCGACCACGTTTCACGGTAATCGCAAAATAATTAAGTGGATGTAACGTAGCGTTGTCGTAGCTACTGTGGTTAATGCGGTTGAATTTATGTCCGACTAGGCGAGTTAAACAGTTATATTTACGGTATGATTCGAATGTTTCATACGAAGCTTAATTTTCATCTCGTTTTATATTCATACCGTGCGCGTTCAATTTTATTAGGAACTTGAAATTTGTCACTCACGGATTAACAAAAATCGATTTAACGAAACAGGGAAAGCGAGAAGAGTTTTATCCTCATGGACGATGTACAGAGGGATTAAGAAAACGTGATACTTTGTGGAAAATTTACCGTCGTGTCAAATGCGTCACGTTCTCGCGACAATGAAAATTTTGTATTTATGTTTAACAGCGGAGGTATAGCGGTTATCAAAGATTAAACGTTGTTTTACCTGAATATTTCAACCTTGTGCTTTTCATCACGTATCGTGGACTCTGTTAAAGTCCTTGTAAACAAAGGGAAAGCTCGCGTTTCATACTTTCCGCGAGTTTCGTCCTTAAGCTTTCGTTGAACGAATTAGAGTTTACGCGTATATTTTCGAAGACAGTTTGCCCTGAAACGAGAGCGATGGGATCGTAGTTAAAGGTTTAACGGTTGAGTCCGATACAACTCCGATACGACATTAATTGTAGAAAATAGAGGAAAGTGGGTTAATGAAACTTGAAATTACCGCACGGATCGGGTAAAAGAGAGAAAATTTAGCGGTAAATTGTATCGACTCGTTTTCAATACGGCTAAGAATTTCTCGTGGCCAAACTGTATAGAGCGTTCTATTATCCATCTCAAAATCTCCAATCACTGAAGCATACTCGGTTAATTTACGTGGAAAATCCGAGAAAGGAAATGGGAAATTATTTTTCTCTCTCGATAGAGTCCTATTTAGAAATCACACGTGTGATTTAATTAAAAATTCGTTTGCAAATAAGATCAATTACTTCTCGAAGTTGCAACTTTCACGTCCCACGTGTTGTCACGGGCTTAATATTCTTGAAAGGATCGCGACAAAGGTTGACCCGCATTGTAAGACGAGTCATCGTAGTTGGGAATAATCTTCGCGTTACGTTCCATTTTTTTTAGGGGCCAACCTGCTGTTTCAGACACACGGATCTTAGCAATCTCGTAATGCAACGCCGATTCTCCCGGTATCTTTTTTCGTTATCGATAGCACGTAATTGAAATTTTTGCGAAGCGTTTGCATGGCAAAGCGAGCGTCGAATAGAAATGACAGTTCTTATTTATAATCTTCGTTCTTCGATGCAATTTATGGAGGAAGGCCGAGAGACTCGTTACCAGCGGAGCTTTATCACCCATGATTGAGGTCGGTGACGATGATAACTTAGCAATTTCCACTAAGGCCGCAATATACCGCTTTCCCTAATCAGATTTCTACAAAATTTCGAGTACGTGGAATTGTGAAGCAAATGGAACGGTTAGATTCTGATTCCTTCCTTCAAATTGGTTCATTTCGCAAAGACTCCCGGAGTAGGCAACTTTTCCTCATAGTATGAAAACACAAAAGTCCAATATTCCGCAAACTGATTGCTGCTAGAACGACGCAAAGAACTGGGCCACTCGCGGAATCTATCTTTTCCGATACTTGTTTCGCGTGCGTCTTATGAAAGCAGCAACCGAATGAGAATCGAAATACCTTTGACTCGTAATTTCTATAAATCGTTCGATCCTTTGTCGAATGTATTATACGTCGTTTCATGTATATTCTTATCTTAAAATGAGTAAAGAATATTTTTCGAATTCTTCTCTAAATGCTATTCGAAATAAAAGGCTATTTCTATTCGCTCGTCGGTGTCTAGAACATTTTCTCTTACCCCACGAGTTAGGTCTCCCTTTGCTTTAAAGTACCTTCCTTCGACCGGAATATGAAGAGATTAAGCCTCGCTATCGAGTAGCTTAGCCATACCTTTTCAAAAAATTTGCCCACTTTTCTTCTATTTAAAACCGGCCGCGGATGGATTTTCATTCATCGAACACCGCGAATTCGGTTCATGGAAGAAACGAAACGGTAATTGACGAGTTCTTCGTTGCTCGTAAAGCTTGGCGCATTTAGAAGAACAATGTCTGGTCGTCGTAATTGTCCTCTAGTAGTTTCATTTCCTACAATGCTGTGCCATTAGAGTAAACCAGGAGCAATTTATTCCTGTTCGAACCACTTACGCAAACAGTTGCACGTATTTTCATTCAGCGAGAAGACTATGAGTTAAATCGATAAATGTATGTATCTTCCTTCGAAAGGTCCTGCGTCATTATTTTTCATCCACTTGCAATGTCGAGTATTACGATAAGATAAGTATCATTGATATTGAGTAATCATCAGGTTTCGCTGTGTCGATCAATACCCGAATCTTCCACAGATTCGATGCATTTTTTCCGCTCTTTCTCATTACCTTGCTGCACTGCACAGTCGATCGCAATCTCCCTCGTGGCAAGAATATCGCGTAGTTTTGGAAAGTTAAAAATCTTGCTATAACGTTTGTTCTCACGTGTAGCTCGTTAGTTATCGCAAGGTGTATTTCGATTATATATATTTGCGCGAGATTGCAGACTGCTTTTAGAAATTGATCCGTATTGGGACTTTCAGTTAGTACGAATTTACCTTTACCCGATAACGCGAATTAGTCAAAACTTTGAATGAAATTTCTAGACAAGTTACACGTTTATCCACTTGCGAAACCCGCGAAATTCACGGTAGCCTAACGCTACATTGCAATTAACTCGCAGCACGTATGCAATGGAGTTATATGTTTTCATACGAGCTTTGATAAAATCAAAAGTATCGTTTTGTTGGTGTCGTTATTTTTTCTCTCACGAATATCACCAACAACGTCGATGATATAAAAGCCTGTTGCAAACTCTTGTCATTTATTTGCGGCGAACGTAACTATTAGCGGAACGTTTGAGGTTATACAGCGATACGCGACTTTGAATTCAAAGTGCATCAAAGTTGCATCATTGTTAAATATACGTAACAAACGTTACGACGGGTGCAGTGATTTGAAATATACGAGTCGAGAACTAACGTTCAATTGAAAATTTCAAACAGCCAGAGATATTGATTGGAGTTCCGTTTCTAACTTGTTTACATTTCAATTCGTTCTTCCTTTTGCCTTTTATATTGATTATTTTTTCAGGATACGATATCCTTACCTCGAGTATTATACGATATTATCACGCGTTTCGATTTCTCGTCCGACGTTCGCTCGATAGTTACTACTTCGGAGAAAAAGATTTTACTAATAAAGCGTAATTCGCGTTGAAAATCCATCCGACACGCAATGAGAGGGAAAACGTGCCTGCGATATTACGGAATCGTTCTTAATATAATTTTTATGGAAAATAGAGGAAAAGAGGAGGAGGAAGGAAGGTAGGAAATAACAAAGCTGACTACCTTTTCGTATAAATGTCTACGTTGAATTTATCAGGACTAAATCGCAACGATATATGCACGCAGGTGGAATAAAGTCGATTTTCATGGCGTCGATGTTAGATTAATATTCTATGCTTCGTCTGGGGTCGACGGACTCCATAATAAAACTAGGGGCTATAGTATTACTCGGAATTCATATGCCACGGCCAAGAGGGTTGTGCATCTGTGCAAGCTACGAAGTTCGCGCTGCTTGAACTTGCATGAAACTTTCGTTATACGTTTTTCTTCGCTTTAAAAAAATTACTCAAAGTTTTAATCGAATTGAGTTGCATAAATTCTTTGGGTCGCAAAGCATTGTCGTATTATGGAAAGTATCGATGCGTCGTAATAAAGGAAATTAAATGGCAAAAGTGGAAATAAAATTTTTCATCGAAAATCGTTTCAAAGGTTTCCTGCAGTTGGTTATTGGTTGGTTGCTAAACGGGTTTAATTTATTTGGCTTTAACAGATGCAACGCATTTATTTGTAACTCTAAACAAATATATCGTGCAAACCGATATTCGTCGATACTTGTATTTCGTTAAATTCTTCCTCTAAAATGTTCCCGTGAATCGATAAAAAAAGCCGCAGATAGACATGTAAAAAACTTTGCTAAAACGAATATTCCAATTGGTCCTCCATGAGTCTTGGTCAGCAAAGACAAACGAGTGTTTGAACAGTCGTCAACCATCCTTTACCCCAGTTGGCGATGTGCCAAACACGCTCGGAGAAAGAAAGAGAGTGCCAAAAATATCCTCGTATAGGTACTTCGAATGTCGTTAACGAGCAATTATTTCCCTTTTTTCGCGCCGAAACAAGAATGTTCGCAATGGAAATATCACGAGCCTTAACGCGTTCGCAGTTGGCTTTTCCATCGATGTTTCGTTGAAAAAAAAATTCCTCGGACAAACTGATAATACGCGTGAAAAATTCGCTCTCGTAGAAGCAGATTACGAGCACGCGCGTATAATCTCCTGCTTTATTTCCTGGCAAAGTTAAACGAGAAAAGCTATCGTATAGCGAGATCCTCGTGTCTCGGCGATGCTTATTCTTTCGAAATTTCAGGAGAAAAAGGCACGTAAGACGTCGGTGTAATCCGTAGAGCAATCGAGTTTGTAGAGAAACTAGAGTATTCGATGGTACACCAGGATCGAGCGTAATAGCATAATTCTAGGGTCGTCGTATCCTCTTCAGGCGACGAGGCATCGTACTATAACGACACGATCGCCTCGCAAGTGTGGTAAACAAGTAAGTACCTGGTACTTGATCGGTACTCTAAGTTACTTGAACTAACGCAAACATGGTTTTGCCTGTGATCGGGCAGATCGACATTTGCTATTAAGACGCGTTTCGATTACGAAAGTTACGAATGGAAAATACCTTTGTACTTGTGACGGAATATTACAGACCACAGATGTAAAAGCGAAAATTAGGTTTCCGATTTAGTAGCTGTAATCGTCTTAAAACCGCGAGACAGGTGTTGCTGCAAGATTAATTCTTACGTAGGTATTAATATGGTATTGCGCAACTGTCGCGATACGTGGCAGAGCCGGATCTTCTATTATGCTTGATGGATTTGTTAACGTCGTAAAGACTGGCTTATGCAAATGCGTATGTAATATAAATTTCACGCTCGGTATTAAACGTGGCCGATTTAAAACCCTCGAATAAATCAAAATGTACCTCCGAAGATTAGTTAGATTGACGCGAATGCAATTTTATCAGCATCTGGAAAGAGGGAAAAGATGCGATTCCATTACTTGCCAAGGAAGTAACTTTCCTCTGTAATTCTCTTACGAAGATGACGAGGATGATTCGTGGTGCCTTTCGCGTAATTAGTTTTTCTTGACCTGTAGGCCCGAAGTTTGTAGCGGCATCGGCGTGCTTCTAATTTCGTATCCATTGCACGAGTCTTTCCTAAAACAGTGTCTCTAAGGGTCCTAAGCGGATAAGCTCAAATGCAAAACTTATCCCGAAAGATTGGCCGACGCTGTTGCTCAAATATGCGAACGTGAAACGAATTCGATACTCGAGTAGATCTCGGCACGTTGACCGCGTACGTTTTCCAACCACACACGAGTCGAATATTTCACGTTTATTATTAAAGAAGTTGAAAAAATATCGTGACAAAGTGCTGGCGACAGTTTTAGTACAGATTACTTTTCTCTTAAACCCAAAACTCTATCTCTCCGTTATAAAGAGAAAGGTTGAAGATAATCAAGTTGGTGTCTCAAGGGAAGGCACGGGGATAGCCGATGTTACGAAGGATGATCTCGTTTGATCGTTCTTTTCGGAATATATCTCGAAACACCGTTACCAAATGCGTAACATTAAGGAATACGGTAGGATTATTTCGATGAAAATTCACTAAGGCTGTATAGTTATTGAAATAATTTGATTTCATGCGTTGTTAACGTTACGGCCCATAATATCGGTATACGAATTAGCGAGACAACGTCAACGGGTGCGGCGACTATCGAGAGACGCTTCTGTATTAATTTGCAGCTTGATCGAGCGATTGGTAAATAGCGACACGTGCCAATGTCCGAATTATATTAGACACTATGTCGCGGAAGTGAAAGAGCAAAGCCAAACACACACGGTGAACGTATGAAATTTTATGAAACTAGTTAAAAGTAGATTTAAATATTCGATTCACTTTTTCCCTCTTTTTTCTTCTTTTTCTCTTTTTTATCTTTTTTTTTTTTTTTTTTTTTTTTTTTTTTTTTTTCATGAAACTTTTCGATGAAAAAGAGCGATTCGTTCGATAGAGCGATGATACACGAATAATCGATCACAGATCACGGTTCCTTTCGCACAGGATATGCCGAAGACTTTTTATACTGATAAATCGTTTCGTTTTCGTCCGACGACGCGCAAACGAGGGTGGTCTTCGAGCTTTGGAATTGGGGCTAATCGAATGGCGCGATGCTACGATTCGTTCCTCTGCACCCCGTTTATAGAAAGTTTACGTGTATAGGTTCTGTATTCTCCTTTGATGTGATCGGAATTTATCGGTTATATTATACTTTCCTTTATTTACGTTCAATTCGATTCATCTTGATCGGAACACGCCTCCGTACTTTTAGCGTGGATGTTTTTCGCATAAATCGTATCCCAATTTCGTTTCTTTTCGGATTCGTCGAGTAAATTAATTTAATCGAATGAGTTGCTGCAATATACTTACGGGTTCCATCGAAACGAGTAGCGATAGTATCTAAGAAAGTATTTTGTGGGGCGAGGAGGCCCTTCCTGACCGGCATTGGGGCCGCCCCGCCGCGCTGTCAGGCGCTCGAATCTGCAAAATAGCCAACACGATTTTGTTTCAGTCCATTGCATGCAATATTCCTGCAGCAATTATGCGCTCGATATAAGTTTCCAATGTAAATGTGCGCATACGTATTCCGATATAAAAGTCGAGATCGTTTGTTCTTCGAACCAACTATGCATAAGCATGCTTAAAGCTCGAAAATGTATGCATGAGGAAAAAGGTCTAAGTCCTCGATAGGTAGGTCAGTGGTCCAATGAAAATAAAGGATTGCGTGTAGTACGGTAGTAGCAATGATAGATGATTGCAGTCTAAGCAAAGTAGCATGAATCTATTTTTAGCTGAGAATTTTAATTTAACGTGTTCGAAAAGCGGCCACTTTTCCGCCGAAATGTATATCAATCCTTTTTCCCTCCACTTTTTTTCTTTTTTTTTTTCTTTCTTTCTTTTTAAACGACAATTTATGTGACATTTTGCTTTTCGATATGACATTATTACGTTTTTTGTTTCCTTTTATATGAAATGTACACGTAAATTACAGTTTTACAAATCGCGAAATAGCTATATTTTTTACACGAAATTCCGTGCATTCATTGTTCGTGTAATTTTATGAGTAGGCGCAGAAATGCATTTGCAGAGCAGGGGTCTCGTTGGGAAGCGTGGAAGTCGGTGATATTCATAGCTTTTCATTATTGGACAGTTCTATTGTTACTCACGTTCTTCAATGGTATTTGTGATTTCTGGAATTAATCCAACTGAAGTTACACTTTTCTTTCATTCGAATCATTCTTGGATACGTGTCATTAACGCATAGTCACAGTAATATAATTGTCAAGGAAATCGTGTATTTATGTTATTGCAATACCATAAAATGGCGATATAATAGAGATAGCGGTCATCAATCGCGAATATCGTTTCGAGTCGAAATATATTCGATACATTAGGATAATATTTAGTTCCAGCTCCAATCAAGCTTCGTCTATTTTTGGAATCGCGAAATAATATTCAACAGATTCGGTCAAACGAAATCAGGAATGGAATGAGGTTAAACGTCAGTGATAAGACATCGATTTATAAATAAATCATATCGTGATTTATAGCTAAGCGAAAAACTTCGCAGGCTAAGGGAAAAGCCATATACGCGAATGTGCTATATTGAAAGTATTTAAACGCATGAAACGGCCGGCCTAGCAATTAAGCATTAATATTCATTTTTACGCTTTACGAAACGTTCATTTCGACTTTTGTGCCAACAACTGTAATTAACTTGCGACTTTTTTAAATAAAAATGCTCGCTGAAAGATTACCGCGCAATTAAATTTATTTTCCCCGTTTTGCTAAAAAGTTAAGGAAACCAAATATAATATTTTTGTAATTAACAAATTTGCATAAATTCAGTTTTCCGTTCTGATTTATCAAAATTATAACCCGTTTTCACGTTTTCCTTATCCTTTAGGATTCTCATGAAGCACATCTATGCGACTCTATAGTGATTTCAGCAATGTAACAGGTGTGAGAAGACGATATGGTACAGAATACATTCATTACGTGCTTATGCTCTTATGCAAGCATCCTATTTACCAAGCGCTTTTTTTTGGTTATTTCCACTTACAAAATTAAGTGTAATGCTTCGAAATAACCGTTTCTGCGATATTCTAAAAATATCTGTGTCTGAAGGAACGTTCATTCAAGGATTGTCAAATATCTTTAGAAATTTTACGCCGCTGCTATTTCTTCTCGACGAACTAGTTAGAATTTTGTGCAAAGCATTTTAATGGAGACAAGAAACACATCGCGTTCCTTGCAATTGCGATAAAGGGATATGGGATAGTGGTTGATGATTAACTTAAAATCACGTTCGTTCAGCATGCAAACTTTCGGACATTGAAACGATCCAGTCGTTAGAATCATCGATACAGACCTTATCGGGAAAAAAGTTCTACCTCACTGGCAGGACATGTTAGGCATTGTATAGGAAACACTACACCTATTTTCGTATCCTCTGCTTTCGATGTCTCACAATTCTACACTGAACACGTTAAAAGGGAATCGCGTATTCGCCCCGTTACGAGAATTTCGAGGTTTTATCGCGACATTACCGAAGGAAACGGGAGACACGCGAAACGTTTGCTGGTACTCGCGTAACTGACCGAGCCGGGGGGAGAATTTCTCTCTATCCTGATGGCCCGGGCTCCTGGCTGACTTGCGCTCCGCGCACCTAAGCGCAACATGTGGTAAACCGTTGAAGGTATACACCCATACACTCACGCCTCTCTGTATGTGCAAGCACACCCGTAAGTGTACCCTGATAAGTACACTAATGCGAAACTGTATAACCTGCATACGCACGCGCGTTGATCATTCCCAAACGCGTGTGTACCGCGAGCCGTGAAACAGGGTCAAGATTTCAACCGAGGATCAAACATCTTGGTGCACAGTTTCCGAATTATCTTAATATCGCCCGCAGTTTCTACGTTATTCGACATTATGGTTGGATCTTTTAAAACGTAAATTCAAGCCTTTCAATCGCGTTCGAAGCCTCAAATACCTTGCTTTGCTGACTATAGCGCTTTGGTTGAGAAATTAAACGACAGGAAAAAATTCTGGTGGTTTTCACCGCGATACGTTGAAAGTTGGGGGTGATTGATCGAGATAGAATCGAACTCGGTTAATTTCTCTGTACGGGTTGTTGAACGGAATTCACTGCAGGAATATAGCGCTTTGCGCTCGATTTTCGCAAATTTTCGAGTATCGTATACGAGATATACGATCTAAAAAAATTTGAGTTCTTCGTTCGAAAGGGTACTCCATTGTATTTGATTAATTTTATACTGGAAAAAAATAGAATATAACGTTATTACGTAATGTCATTTTTTCAAGTACACTTGCATAAAAGATGGCGAATTATTACATGTTATCTCTATACCGTTTTATGAACAGGAAGATAGGGTTCTTCTTGATGACTCGATGATACTTTCGAGAAACGAGGAAAAATAATTCGACCATATTGTTGACTGACATAAAATAGAGAACGAGATTAAACTTGGCTATTAAATTTCCAAGTAATATATGATATCCACGAATGCTGAGTACATGTACAAACATATACTATATCCACGCATGCATATTGCTTTTATAAAGGAATTCTTCGTTTCCTCAGTACCCATGTTAGCAAAGAGAACGAGAATTTATTTTTCGCCGCGATATCTACAATTTTTTAATGATTTTCTACTATGCGCAACTGTAATCTTGCTTCGATAGCTTCGGTAGAAAAATTACACGCGTTTATATTTCGCTCGCAGTTTTCTCTTTATCCGATCAAGCCGTTTGTGCAGAATATAAGTAGTAAGTGCAACAATAAATGAAACGTGACTGCAGATCGATAGCTTAGAAAATTACCACCACGGCGATTTCGTGCACCGTTTCATCGACTTTTCCCTACTTTGATATATTCGTGGCGGTCTCGTGTATGAGTATATATTGAATGAAACGTTAACTTAGGTCAGTTTCGTAGTATTGTATAATGTGACCGCACCGAAGGGGGTCGCTGACTGTATTCGCGTGTTAGTCCCTCGTGAGCGGGGCATGCAATCCGTAGGCGTCTCTGATATAGATCATAGTAAAAAGAATTTCTCTGGCGACTGTTTGATTCCACGGCTACGTACGAGACTACTTGAACAGTAGAACAGACTTGTAACATGGTAGACGCAAGGACTCGGGGGACTCGGATTAACGAAGAACGATGGTGTCCCTGTATTTTCGAAACGAACGTTTATCGTTCAGTTCTATCTTTTAAATGCGTATTACTTTGTTCTGGAATAAAACCTCCCTCGTGATCTGCTTTGGACATCATTATGGTAATTTATCTTGTAAATTCGTAGATCTTACGTTTAATTTTTTAATTTTCTATCGCATATATTTATTTATAATATACAATTCTACGCGTTATATATCATTCCGCGATATTTACAAGTCAGATAATAAATTTTGCTTGAGCGAAAAACGAGCTTCTTTGAACGTGATGTATATAAAAGACAAATCCGACATGTCGGCCTATTTTTCAAGCACGAATCCAGTAACTACGCCAATATGCTTGGTAGAGTAGATCACGCTTCGGAGTAATATAAGCTCTTGTTACTAATCCCCTATTTTGCAGAAAATATTGGAATATTTTCGTGGTCAAAGGCTATTCCCTATTTCTTTCTATTCTTCTTCTTTTCTCCTTAGATGTTTCCTCAAACGACTTCAATTTACGCTGCAAAGCCTACTTTGTTTCTTACAATCGTGTTGGATATTTTTTGGGGTAGCAGTAGGGTTTTGCCTGCCAAAAGATTCCTATAAATCACGTGGGATCAGAATTTTCCGCGAGCTGTGGAATGTACTCGTCGTTTTATTTTATAACGCAAGAGATATGAATATGGAATAAAAAAATTTGCATTTACGGATGTTTGTTACGCTGTTGGGCAATGTAAAATTTTAATATAAATCGAGTACTTTCGGTGTGAAGAGTGGGGAAAAATATAAAGGTGGCATCGAAGCACACATATGAAGAAACGTGATATTGACGGTCTAAAGAAAAAATAATCGATAAAAAAATGTCTGTGTTGCACGAAAATTGTCAGTGTCAGTGGGTTATCCGGGCAGCACGGCGTACAGACGGCGCGTGGTCACGAAGCAGGGTCCATATAATCGATACTCCACTACTTCGAGTACCTGACTCCGTTGGGAGGGATGGAGAAAAGGAGACAGATTGAGATAAAAAAGAGGCAGGAAGGTTCTAAGGGTACCTACCGCTTTTTTCCCTCCTGCTTTGTCGAAGGCTCGTCTTCTCTTCCCTAAGGAATACCGAAATAATAAAAGTTCCTCGCATAATCTTACCACGAACGATGGTGAAATTAACGAGTAAGTTTCTCACTGCCTTACCTCTCGTTTTACTCCAGACTTTTATTTTTCTTTGAGAGAAAATATATATATTTTTATATCTTTCGTTTTTCTAACCCATATCCTCGAATTAAAGGCATTGCTAGATAAATACAGCGACATTATACGTGGCTGAGCTTATTCCGCTTTCTCTTTTTGTTTTCCCGTTTTTCTACACGATGAAGATAGTTACTCGAATCACACGTGTATTAATTTCAACATTCGATGCATTGTATCAATCTTCTGAATTCGATTGCAGAAGACAGAGAAATTACTCCGAGGTTGAAGCTCCTCAAAGACCGAGAAGTTATTACATCTTTGTGCAAACAGGACTATCTTTGTAGACAAGAATTTCCTATTACGGAGATAACTGCGGCATTAAAAATTTCTAGTAATTCTTCAAGACCAATAGCTCTAGTGGTATTACGTATCACAGGGTCGATCTAATACGACGAATTCGATTGGTCTATGTCGGGGTATTAACTTGTAACTATCTATCAGCGAGTTGTTCGGTGCCACGTGATCAAGCTGGTGTACCTATCGGTATCTCTATCGGTATCTCTATCGGTGAATGGGGTTGCTAAGATCATTGCCGTGGCAAATATCTCGGTGACGTCTAACATGTGCGATTCTGTATTAGATACCGGCCGGGTTGGTCTGTTTTCCAGTGGTGCCAGGTGCCGATGGCCGAACGGTATAACAACGTAACCGCTGCCGCATTGCCGATGTCGTGCCTGCCGTAACTACGGTACATGGGGTACGTGTACCCTCGTGTACCTACGTCGACCTCTGACTCTCTCAAGGGGTGGACGACTTATCGACCTGGTGCTAGCCAGGCCTACCACCTTTATCTCATCGGTAGTCCAATCGCGAAATTTCTTACTCGCGATTGCGTGATTTTAATCAAAAACTAAATCGATTCGAGAGCGATTCTGCAATTTCCAGACTTTTCCACCTATGAAATATTTTTCCACGCTAAATCGAATTTTAATCGCGTTACGGCGTGTTTATTTATCGACGCGCGAATGAAACGGAGAGAAAATAAAAATCACCGAAATGTTGAAAAGATTTGCAATGTGTATTCTACTCTTTGGTCTACATCCCCAAGAGAGGTAGTACCTTCGCAGTGTATGATGAGAGGCCCTTGTCCTTCTAGGTCGTCTTTTAGAGTGTTTGCGAATCAGGCCGCGACCCCGTCACCGTTGTCGTAAACCACAGCTGTGGTAGTGGTTGCAGGGGGTTGTGCCGCGAAATTAGAACATTGCATTCGTGAGGGTCGTCGCTGTCTCGCTCTCGTGCCAGGGCATCAATAGGAATAATACGAGGAACTATGCAATGTAGCTCGTACATAGGTAGACGCGAGTGTAACGACCTTACACCCCCGCAGGTAGCGGGATCGATGGGCTCCAACTCCGAGCAACCTCTCATCCACAGCTCCTATCGCGGGCCAACTGCCTCCACCGTGTTAGCTTGTCCCACTTTTCTATCACATTTTACTACTACGATGTTAACCGTACTTTGGTTCGCACCTTACGGCCACTGCTTGCAAACGATAAACGAACTTACGCTGTTCCTATTCAAAACAGTTCCGTCATCGCAGTACACAATGCCGAACCAGCCGGTTTTTCAATACCGCGAGTCACGAATGTTTTGTCAAAATTTTATGCTTAGGATTAACTTGGGATGTAATTGGAGCGAATAAAATAAACTAGTTATTTCTTTAAAATATATTGTATACGCTTTTCATAATAATTACGATTCCATGACTTCGAGATCAAATTTCGTAGCGTTTAACGTTTCGAAGTTGATCGATGGTATTGTAAAGTTTTATTTTCGTTATACTTTTGCATGGACTCGTTGGTGTCTTATTGTGTGCATACTGATATGGCAAACACTTCACTAATAATGCAAGTGCGTTATTTGTTTCAATTATTGGAGTTACATTTCGTAGTCGTGACACAGATTACAATACGATCGTATTACTGAAAAGATGTGTTGGTTAAGTGCATTCAATATAAACAGTTGCATGAAAATCTATAAAATATATGTAAAAATTCGTTTTTGTTTAAGAATTTCATCTCGTAAAATACTCTTCCGTATTTTTTATGACGTAAGATTTTTCCACAAAAAATTTTAAGAAACGTGATTCTTTCATTTCCCTATAAGACATAGTTAAAATTTAAAATAGATCGCGTGAGAAATATTTAAGAGATTCTTATTAATATATTTTCGCGTAATGCTTTATAAATATAGATGATAAAATGCTATAGAATAAGATCGGTAATTTTGAATTATCGAACCTAAAGGAATTCTATCATCTAGGACTATTTTTCGCACAGTCCCTTAATGTAATAGTACGAACGTACAATTTTATCAAGAAGTTATCACATAATCCTAAGTAAATTTCATAATTTCTTTTTTTTTTTTCGTAGTTGTAGACCTTAAAGATCAGCAAACCATTTTAATTCGCCCAACTTTAGAAAATTATCACATACACATTACAAAATACTTTGGTTGTTAAACTACCAGAATTTACATATCGAGGTCGAATATCAAGTCATTCTTAAACTGTGCTTTAACCGCATCCTTCGCAGGCTCATTCGAGCTGCTGGAATGGCTTTCATTTACGATGTCTTCCTCGATATCCGACTTTCGCTCTGGCAAGGAACGATTATTACTTGACGCTTTAACGATTTCGATATTGGCAGTTTTCTGTTGCGGTATTTGTCTATCCTTATTAAGTATAGGTTTTACAGTCTCGCAAACTTCCGCATTCTTTTGATTTGCTTTGTACTTGTCGCGTTCCTCGGTTTCAGAGTTTTCGCTTTCGCTCATTCTACGTTCATGAGCGCGCCTCTTATTTCGTAATTTACGTTGATTCTTTTTACGTTGACCAAGAATACTAGAATTAGATCTAAACAATCGAAGGGGATTAGTCGGCGTAAGTCATTGCTAAGGAAAATATGGCTCGAATTGCAAGTGCATCAATACCTGAACAATTGTCGCGATACCACGTCGTTGAATCGTACCGTCTTTTTTAAGCTGGAACAATCTGATTCAGAATTCAGATCTTGTATCGAATCATAATGACAATCTATGGATGATGCAACCATTCCATTTTCATCGGCACTCGATTCGGATACTGAACGTGAAAAAGTATGAGTGCGTCGCGATTTCAATATACCTTTCGAGTATGTACCTGTAGCTATATTATTACATGTTATTTCATCCCCGCTGCTCTCTGAAACAGATCTACTCTTTGATAAAGTATGACAATGATTCGGTCGTTCGTCCGTTGATTCTATACTGTGTCGTTCAGCTTCGTCGTCCGAATCTAAATGATTCGATCTAATGTTTATGACAACGCCATCATCCTCTGCCTGTACATCGACTGCTCGATCCGTCTCGAAATCATCGTCCTCTGCGGTCTGTAGAAAATTTTGATAGATATAGATTAAATCTTTACTTCTTGTAGCTATTCAAGATACTTACTATTAATTTCTTTAGTTGATCGTTGAAAGACGTAGCAGTAGGGAACTCTTTTTCCTCCATAAATGTGTCGTTTATTCCAACGTAGTAGCGTGCTAAGTCTTCCACATTTTTTAACATGATAGTAAATACAACGTTATTATCCCACGGTTCAATCGTGAGAGAATCTGGATGTACAGAATTTTCGCTTATTGTTAAATATAACGAGTAATATTGAGGAAAAAATCCTGCACCTATAGACGTTAGTAAAATGTGTATTCCTAAATCGTTTTGTAAAATTCTATGACGAATGGAATTTGGATCAACATTTTTTACATTTACAGTAATTGCTAATTGATTGTTATATATATTACAAGTAAACATTGGCAGTAAATACGTAATGCTAGGATCTAAAAATGTATCTATATTTTTTGTGCTAGTCCGTAATGCCGTATCACTAGAATCTTCTAAAGTTTCACTCTTGTATCCTACTTTTGTGACTGCAACCACTGTTTCACACTCCTCTACAAACTTAGATATAGGATTAGTTTCGTGATTCTGACTAAGAGAAACTTCTGTAGATTCGTCCAGTAGCAGTGGTACAGGACTACTGTGATCACTATCAACTCCACTATCTTCCCTTGCATCAGACACCGATACAACTGGTTGAATGACTGGTAGCGTTATAGTAAGCTTCTTGTATTTTGGATCAAACTTGGCATTACCCATGTCAGCATTTACATGGTAAGGCAGAGGAAGCTCCAATAAATATTTTGCAGGCTGTTCACTTTTTATGCTGAGGAAACATTCTTGTACATCTAAGGAAGCATCGGTGGCAGTTCTTAGTAAAGGTAAATCTATATTAACGATTAATCTTTTAGGTACTGTAGCATTCATTTTTGCATTTCTACTTGTGCTAAAATCTTCCAGCTCTATATCGGATTGGTGTTTTATAGAAAATTTTGGAGTGACATATTTACTATTCGTGTCTGTATCCTTATCTGCATTTTTATTATAATATGTCGTAGGAGGTGAGCAACGCTTTGGCATCTTCTCTAAATGCTTGAATTGTTGCTTTCTGCTATCATCGTAACTCGACATCAGCTTTTGATAAATTTCTGGTTCTATGTCCAATTGTTTTGTGGGTGGTTCCTTGGATGCCTTTCTAATTACGGTAGGATGACATATTCCTTTGTAATTCATCTTTGGAAATTTGAGATTTTTTCGATCCAATTTCACCTTAGTTTGCAACGTTAATAAATGACAAGAATGAATAAACAAACAGCTATGAAAATGATTTGTAGTACTTACGTTAAAATTGCTCTCCACGCCATCCATGGCCGTGTTATTAACGATTTCGCGAAATTGTGCATTTTTCGATGTCAGGTAAATAGTGTCGGGATGGAAGACCACGTCGAAGACCTTGCAACGTACATTTTTTTTGTCAAGGTCGTCCCTAGGTGGTATCAACGTATAAGGAATAGACCATTGTAATCCGCGATGACCTAGTTTGAAAGAAGGTTGACTGCTTGGACGGCCTACGATGTCGCTTTTACTGATGTTTAGAAAACATTTCTTGTCTCCGTTTACGCTGGTTTTTATGACGTAACCAGGTTCTGGATTGACAAATGTAACGTCGACGCCCCGTTCCTTCTCTAACTGCGTGATTTCCTTCTCGTAGATCTTCCTATTTTCCGGATCAGTCACCTCTTCAGCGTATTCGATTAATAATTTACGGAATTCTTCCTTTTTTAGACACTCGGTTAAATTTTTTAACTCTTCTTTGGTCACGTCCAAATCTTCCCAACTTTTTCTATGTGTTTCGTACGCGTCCATCTTATGAAATGTTTACAAATAAACTTGTGGATAGAATGATCGCGAAACGCTGTACCACGTGGATAGTTGCGCCACTACGCCGGCCGGTTGAACAGCGGTCGAACAGGGAACTTCCAGTCACCTAATGGCGCTCGCGCCAATTTTTTCCACTTCCTAACATCCTAGTATCATTAAAAAGAAAAGAAATCCTTCGATCTATTTGATACAAAGGTCTTGCTTTAGTTTTGAAGACACAGATTTACTTTCGCTTAAAAAGGAAATTGTATTACTAATGATAAACACAGTGTTTGCTTGTTTCCTTTGACATACGTAACTTTTAATCGATCGTATTCTTTTTGCAGTTTAAGCGAATGCTCTTGCAATCTGATCGACATTAATGGCGTTGCAAATTTTCTAGAGAATTACCGAATAGCAAGAAAGTGGAACTCCAGTTCTAAACACTTGATCTATCTTATATCGTATTTGTTATCCTACAGAATAAATGATTCGATAACATACGAATGCGTATACGCAAAAATTCATAACAACGTTCGATTCAAATTCAACACTTCCAAAAAAATCAATTTTATATGCAAAGAAGAATAAATTATCGGTATCTCGATCAGTTAAATCTCTCATATACCTATTTCGTAACTGCTACTTACTCGTAATGCAATAAATACCCATGAAAAAACTATGTCTCGCTTTCCGTGAGATCTATCATTGGTAGGAGTTTAAGCACAAACAAGGTATGGGATAGATTTATCCTGCACGATACATTTTAGATACCTTACCATTTCACTATCATTTCCAACGTTATCGATGCAGTACACAAGATATTGTGTTAATACATCAATACATTAGTCGGAATTAAAACTGAAATGAAAGAATCGATATCACGAAGGGTTTCAATTTTTAATCGATATAAAATATCATATCAAAACGACAACGTCCCTAGATAAAAAGGAAACACCATATTTATGATTAGCTTAATCTATCTTAATTTACATCTTGATACGATAATTACGTTTATCCCACATTTTTAATTCAGGAGCACTTTTTAGCTTGGTATTATTTCTGAAAGTTTTTCCGTTTTCCGAAAACGCTGGCAATTACCAAGTCCGATTACGTGGAAGAGGCTACGCATTTTAATATATCAGCGACGTACTCTGTATCAAAGATCACGTACACGAGATAACTTGGCTGATCGGTCACTCGCCTAACTCGAGTCATTGCCAACACTGCCGTGACCCCGGAACGAAGGTAACCGCTGAATCAATGATGGCCTTGTGGCCGGATACACACCGTGTCTCTGCCCTGCGGGCCATAAGGTAACAATCAATTAAGGAACTATCCCACGAGATCTGACGGACAGTAAACACGTTATATTCGGGTATACTCCGGTCGTACAGGTGTGTAAGTGTACGTATTCTTTGATCGTATACGCGTAGGTATACACAGGACGACTAGGACCTCAGACCGCCTTGACACCGCGGAGCATCATCAGTCCAACGACGTCCCAACGAATTCGTCATGTGTCCGAGGAAGACACTGACTCGACGAGTCGGGAGAATTAGAGAATAGGGATGAAATATTTTTATTTTTCGCTTCAAGTCGGATAGAAGATCTTACAATTAATACATAAAGTATCGCGATGAAAATTTAGACCCCTTCTGCTAGAGATCAAAGCGACAATTGCATCCAAGTTGTACTTCAGCTTGCGCTGAGAAGCCTGTGATAAGATTAACGATAATTTTCATTGACAAGTAGTTTATTTTACACGATACCTTCCATTTTGGTTATGCGAGTTACATTGAATATAATTCCTAAATTCATTGCGATAAGTCATAGTGGGCATAATGAATTTTCTGCTTTTCTTGGACGATCGGTATTTTAGAACGTGGAGCATGAAGTCCCATAAGGTGATAAGTCTATCCTATACCTCGTCCGTGGTCTAGGTGAAGATGTGGGGATCAAGCGGTACGAAGTCTCTGACCCACTGACATTCTCTTTAGTTTCTTGGTAGACACAAACGTCGATAATCTGTGATTCAGACTTTCGATGTCGGTAATTAAGATTACTGGTAAAATATTTTTTGAGAAAAGAAGGTAGCCACCATCGAAGGATCAGAACCAGTCGAATCTCGGTTTGAGATGCGGCTAAGTCGTAGCTTGGTAACTAGTGTCGTTGTTTGCTTGACAGTTTTCTTCATCGTTTTGAATTCAAAGTCAGCAGTAGAAATGACAAACGATTCAGGAAGTAGCATAGAAAAGCCTTACGTGGGAGAAATGGGAATCAATAAAGGCCAGGTAAATTGTATAAATTGCATTTAATAAATTTACGTTATGTTAAATAATTAGGAATTTCGCAGAAATCGTATCTAAAAGTTTTGACGAAACACACGCAATGAACTTTTTAAATCTGTATTATATATTTTTCGTTTGCAATACGGTGTAGCCTGAGAGCAATTCTCTTTTCAAATAATATATTGGCCGAGTTTAGATACTATTGCAGTGAAAGTGCATCAGTAAAGGATGTAATTATTGGAAAGTGATCTTTCTCTTTCACGATTTATATATAAGTTTCCCAGATATTGCACACAACCGAGAATTAAAGAGTTTTTGTGTCATAAATGATATTACTTTAGCGTTATTTACCAGTCGTTGCTAGTTTCATTAAGCTAATTTGTCATTGCAGCTGTAATTATGTAATGACTAATAATGTGATTTATTACATAGACATATCGATACGTTACACCGTCTCTTGCGGAATTGGGTGCGCGTGGAAGCTTTCCGAAAATGAACAAGCATATCTTAATGTTAACGCGTGTACCCGATGCTGGAGCTGAACTGTTAGTATTGATGCTACAGCGCTTGCAGGGTTACAATGCATTTAAACACGTACGATTACCACCTGGTGATCATAGGCTTCTATCAACTTTACAAGAGGTAAAAATCTAGGATACGACAGTCATTAAATTTTTTTTAGTTATTATTCCCTCATTGTTCTCTTATTGTTCTCTGTCACGCCATACGAAATAGTCGCGGTTCTATATGCGCTAACGACATTGATCTCATGAATAATGTAAGAAATATGAATCAGCAGTTGATTCATTGATCGTATGGATGTTCGGAAAATTTAATCACACAGTGGTTGTTGCACTTTACGTTCACATCAGAGTCTGTTTTCGATGTCGCAATCCAAGTTGTGCCACTTTCATCTTTCCAATTAAAGTAACCGAGTTGAGAATTCCTATCCGGAGTATGTCTAGTTAAAGTTGGGGATGTAGTAAGATTTGCCGCAAACGATGGGAAAATTAATAATATCGAAAGATGCGATGTATTTTGAATATAATTATATCATCTTGACATTTTATACCCTGCGCCGACTGTTCCATTAGTTTGCGCTTTTAGGCGATGCAGAAGACAGCAGTTGTAGACTATTTCTGCGTTCTAAATAATTTTCACATCATTTTATAGGAATTGTTAGTGGAAGAAATTACAAACATCATAAGGCAAGAGGCAATTCCTTTAAGTTTCGACGGGGATGTTAGATTCTTGAACTTTTCGAAATTCGGACGAGAGTCTCCGTCATTCATTTCTCTAGTGAGGAATCCTATAGGCGCACAAAATTTGCAGAGGTAAAAAATCACGCTTTTCGCAAGCTTCTATCAGTATTTCGTTGAAAACGAGCCGGTACGGTATACCGTGGATGGAATTAAATTTGTACGATACGTACCGACTGCATTCGAGTACGCATTTGTTACGTTTCAGATATCGTGGCAGGCGAAAAAATATGTTCGAAGGTAGAGCCATACCTACGTTTTGTGGCCAAGATTCTCGATGCACGTGAGTAATTATACGTGAGCAATAATAAATAAAATTTCATTTGCGCATTTCCTTATCTCTATCGATTGTAGAGAGATCAATAATAAGTGGGCATTGCAACGGGCTAAAGCAAATATTGTTGAATGGTATCCTGTTGTTGGTATATTAGATTATATGGAACAGTCAATGGATGTACTGGAATATAAATTTCCATATTTCTTTCGCGGTGCTAAACATATTTATAAAAAGATTCGTAAGTAAATAAGCAGCAGGTATAATTACATTTAGGAAATTAGTCTTCGATTCCAGTTGATCATGATTCATTTTATTTAGGGCCAACAGAGAAACGCTTTATTGATTCCGCAATCGTGCTGAACTCCCGAGAGAGGGATATTTTATTTAAACTTTTTGAGACTGAAATAGAATTTTATCAGTGGTTGAAATTTCGTCTTCTAAATGAAACATCATCGATTGACAGTGACGAGAGTTATTATTCGTGAGGGGAAAGATTGTTATTCTCTTGTATCTAGTTTAGAAATATACCAAAGATCATTATACTAAATATTCTAATAATGATTTTATACAGAATCAAATTTAATTAAAAGAGTTTTTCAAGAAAGAATTATGGTTGCAAATTATTTTTCCTTTTAATCGCAATCCATTATTTTCCCCGTTTGATCGCATTACCATTTTAATAAACGTATTTATCAAAAATACATTTTCAGTAGATTAATATTTACAATCATTTGCGTTGAAATGCTATTGTTAGTTGATATCGTCGTATTGGTCAGATAAATGTATAAATGACAATTTCCTTCGAAAAAGGTAAAGAACGTAATGGTGTTGATATCTGAAATTATGGCTTCTTTGCAATATCAATTTTAAAGATGAGAATAAGTACTTTATAAATAAAATAACATTATCTAATAGTCATTGGTTTATAATAGATATTATATTGCTATTCGAAGGTGAAAAGAAGTACTTGACGTTTATATTTAATATTTAATAGTCATTGATTAAGAATAGCTACTGTATCTCTTTTATATTATTAGCGAAGACTTTAAACAAAAGAGTAGGATCTGGCACAGAGAATGATTTTTCTGTTATCGCAGATAATATTTTATTAATTTTTACATTGTTTTGAAAATTTATTAGGACAATAAATGTAATAATTTACACAAGTTTACCAAGTGAAAGTTACATTTACGTTTTTATGATAATAGTTTTTGACATACAGCTATGTTAAAAATTCTTGGTGTTTTTTTTATCGTAAAAATGGACATGTAACATCCAAAGCTTATATTAATCAATAATCATTAATTGAGAATAGCCACGGTACATGAGAAAATTTTGTAGGCCGTATAAAATTGAAAGTATATACATGGCATCGTTATCGATAGAATTTATATATCGTTTAAGTGGATAATAGTTTATAAATTTCAGAATTTGATTCCAAACATACGTCACTGAACAGTAATTATTTATTCACTGTATTAATTTACTCTCTTTAATAGTTTATTTTCCCTTTTTAAATAATATTAATTAGTTTTATTAAGACGTAATGATGATTTCGCCATTTTTTAAATCGTCGTTGGCATAAAGAAGAACTGACGTTTCTTAACCGATATTTCGTTGGTATCCATATTAACACGAAGCTGAATAAAATATTTATAACCTATATAGTTACATAATTTACAATTTTAATGATAAAATGTACATAACAAGTTTTAAACGTACCGGATTTATTATTATTCGGGAAGAAAGTATTTTTATTACATATTTATCTTTTAAAGAAATATATTTAGAATAAATATGGAAATGTACAAAGCAGCATTAAAAAACGTACAATGGTCATTTCGTGTTTACTAATTATTGAGAGTGATAAAAGCAGGATATTATATTACGAAGCTCTTATTGTTTATTTACACCAACTGATCTTTAAAATGCAAGTTTCCAGTTACGTGACCGTTGTATAATGTGAAAGAAAAGTGACGAATGCTCCACAAACTTGACCAACATTGATACGATAGAACTGACAAAGTCGTTTTGATCGTACAAGCAAAAGGCGTGTTACTTTTATAGTATAATAGAACATGTAAAAATACTTATTCGATTCAAGTTTCAAATGCTAATATAAAAATGTTGCTATCGTTATCAACGATGGTACATGTGATTTTATATAGAACGGAAAATAAATTCAAGGGGTATCAGAAAGCGATTTCGATCGTATCATGCGCATTTCGCACGTGCAACAAAACATAGCAATCATGTTGATGTACAAATGAACTAGCAACAACATGAGCAAAACGTGCCATCACTTTTTCTTCGCATCTTTTAATCCGGCACCAGCGTTAAATTTAAAGAAAATTATATCCCCGTCTTCGACAACGTAGTTGCGCCCTTGCTGTCTGTACTTCCCAGCAGCCTGTTGGGCAACAAAGGACAAAGATCAAAGTAAACGAAACATTGATATACCTGTCAGTGCGGTATTTACCTTCACTGCTGCTTCCGATCCTTCGTTTTTAAAATCGTCAAACTTCATAACTTCGGCCATAATGAATCCTTTCTCGAAATCGGTATGAATTTTTCCTGCAGCTTGAGGTGCCTTTGTGCCTTTCTAAAGTAACGAGAAAAATGACGTATAAGATGACGCAAAAAAGGCTTCGAAAGATTGATTCATTTTGATTTACCTGGATAGTCCATGCCTTAACTTCGTCGTGTCCTGCTGTAAAGAAGTATTGCAGTTGCAATGCTTTGTATCCTTGGACGATGATCTTGTCCAACGCGCTGAAAAAGATTCGTAAGGTGAAACAACAAATTTTCAGCTTGGCGTATTAGAAAAAAAGAGAGAAAAAGAAAAGAAGAAAAAAAGAAAAATAGATTCTCAGTTCAAAGAAGGGGTGGTCAAAAAACAGGACTGTGGAATATGATTGTCTCGAACCGAATATCGTCTAATGACAGGGTACAAGAAGGGAAGCCATCCTGTTTTGTGAGCCCAACGAACTTCGAGACTTCAGAGAATACACATAAAGCTGAACGACTTAATACCGCAATTTTATCACTCTAACTCTGTCCGAGATCTACTTCGGCGCCTCGGTTATCTGCGGTCACGAAATAAAATCGCAGTATCTAGAAATCCTTCGTTTGTCCCCTATGATTACCGAAAGAACCTACCTTATACGGTCATTTCGAGGGATCGACGAAATTTGCCGAAGAATTTAGATTTCATATTATGGGCATCATCGGCAAACACGATTTAATATTTCTCATGTTAGCTACAGCTTAGCTTTTCTTTTCTTCTTTTTTTATTTTTATAACTACAATTTTCTCTATAGCATGACGTATCTATGGTAATCTCTAAAACGTATGCGAACTTGATCGAGTTTACCGTGCATAACACGAGCGGAGTTTGTTCGCGAATGACCTACTAGCCAACTGAACCGGTTGATCCTCATTCCACTCGTCTCCCTGGTTATACCGGTGTGCCCGGGAGGGTAGGAGGGGTTTTTATGTAATTTTGCAAGAATTTGAATAGCCGTTCGTAAAAATATAATGCACCACAATAAAGATGCCGCAGCTTTTATTAGTAACCCTACGCGAAAGTTGAGCTAGTCTAGACGCTTAAACCGAGCCGGCCATTGTTATTACCGTCAGTAGATAACTTGCATAGTTAAATAAAAACCGAGTTTTTTCAAATTTTCAGACCGAACTTTGGCTCACTAACAACTTTTTTTTAACGTTCGTCATTTTCTCCTTCTCTTTTTCGTTTCTTAATTTATGTAGGGCACGTTTGCACGTTTTGACAGCAGTTTCGTTTCCAAGTATACGGGTAGTCCTGCATTCTTTCTAAAGAGAACTGCGTGGCAAGAAGTTACAGACTAGGCTGTAAGGTTACCCACCTAGTAACCTTGTTTTCTTCAAAATATTTCGCACGTTCTACTTCGTCCATATCCAGAAGTTTATTTTCAAAGGCCCCGCTGAAGGGAATCAAAATAGCTCCGGGATCGTTCTTGTCAACCCATTCCTTGATCTTTATCAACCTGAAATTTACGAGATACCGTCAGTAATTATCGATATATGAAATTAACGCGTTAATATATAATATCGATACATTAACTTAGTATCTAAAGTATCAAATTGACGATAAATATAGATTCCAGATAATAAACGATATATAAGTACCATTTATTCTTCTTACGTATGTAATCCTTTTCGGAGAGATTAATTAAATAAATAACTGGCTTTGATGTAAGGAATAAATATTTATTGAGAACTTCGATCTGTAAATACAGGACACGATATTGAGAGAGTGTTAAAATTTTTAATTCACAGAAAAACACGATCAACTTACGTCAGTAGCACTCCAATCGGCAAACCTGATATGCCTTTTTTCATCCACCATTACACCTTTCACTTTCAGTAATGTATCCTACACAGAAAAGCATTCGATTATATCTCTGCAAGCATTAGCTCCTTTCAGAAACTCGTTTTTCCCATTATTGTGCAAATATACGTATTTTTACTATCGAGTAGAAGAATCCAATCTTCCGTTTAATAGCTCGCCACACGAGTATGCGTCACGGAGTGGAATAATTTCGCGATCGCACTGTGATTAGAGGACGGTGCACTAACAAAACGTTTCTCCATTAGTTTGACCGAGAGAGGACGAAGAGGCAACTTTGAACTCTCGAAAAGTTTTAGCAAATTGCAAAGTCTAGAACGAGGGGAGAGATCGGAAATTGCCGTGGGTCAATCCACGGAAAGAGGGTAATTCGATTGATTCGTTCTAGGAAGCAGTGTACCGATCACGTTCTCTTAATTTCCTCGATAATTTCGTTCAGATACTGCAATATGCCTCCATTCGCAACCATTTTCATTCCTTTTTTCATCCGAACCCTCACGAAAAGATTAAAGGAAGAAAGTAAAAAATAGAAAGAATTTCTTTAAACGTCTTGCACGAAGCTAATGCTATTGGAAGGTACGAAATATTAAAAGATAACTCGATACTTACGTATTCAGGCTTGAGTTTCTTGTCGTTTCCCCGAACAACGAGTTTTTCTAACTTTTCGAGATGCCCATTCAAGAATTCGATATCTTTTAATCGTAACTCCTCGCTAATAATTTCAAGATCCCTTACGGGATTCACATCTCCCTCCACGTGGGTAACGTCGTCGTCGTCGAAGGCTCCTGCATTTGGATCCACAGAAATACAAGATTAATCCTCTTTCGAAATTCAATTTTTCACAATCGATAGAGTTCTACGAAAACGGTTAATAACGGTAAAGCTATAACGTGTTTCGCTGTACTTATAAGCTACTCGTGCGTGTTGCGAGATAAACTCGCCACCATGATTGCACGTGCAATACACGGAAGGAGCAAACACGATGACAAAACTAATCTTCCATCCTATCGTCAATGGTAACTTCGCTTTAACGTGATCGATTTTATCGGTTATCGTTCACCTCGGATAGCAACGATGTAGCTTATTTGCATAGAAAACTCGTGTTTTGTATTTATGTGTTTCGGTATATTTATGTTGAACTTACGACAGAGATGAAAAATTCCATCGCAAGCATTGATATGCGAAAGGAAATTGTTTCCCAGGCCTTGTCCCTCCGCGGCGCCTTTGACTAAGCCAGCGATATCCACGACATTTAAGAAAGCTGGAACTTTGCTGAAAAGGCAAATAAAGATAAGTCTTAGCGGCGATCCTGGATTCGTTCGTGTGCGAACAGCGTAACGAGCGCCTAGGGATTATGGTAGACTGTAACATGCACGCGTCTAGAATTTAAACGAGGGCGTCGCAGTGACAACGAGCTGTATTTAAATGCTAATGCAAGTAGCATCATTAAACAATTAGCCTTTGAAGAGAGGCGTTGGTAAAATGAGCAAGAAGGGGAATGCCGTGTTAGGTGGCTTTCATTAGAGATCGTTGAATCATCTGACACGTGACAACTAGTCGGGGATCGTGCAGTGTCGGTGTTGGTGACAGTGTTCCAGAGTTGGGTCGTGAATGACCACGATGCAAGACATGCTCTTTGATCTAACACCCGTTCCGCGTTTTATTCTCTGCAAATTAGTAGAATTGTCAGCATACGCGTGTCGCAAAGTAAACGCGATTGGTCCTTTCGTTCGATAATTCCACCGGTTCGAAGTTTATCGATTCTCTGCTACTCTTTCGTGCTTTGGTTAACTGTTTACTAACTGTAACGGCAGCTAAAGAATATTTTAGCACGGGTCGAATGTACGCTTTGCTTTCCTATCCACCCATGATTCTGCTGCTTTGTACATTCAATCTCATCGTGTCAACGAGCCAGCGTGATGACGCGAGGTACGGTAAACACGGCTTTCATCCACGGTTACCCACGCTGATGCATACCACAGCACGTATAGCGGTTTCCACGTGTTTCAATGAAACTTTCGTTATCATGTTTGATCAATTTTAAACGCGGAATGAAATTTGAATTAGCCATTTTGAAGTTCCAAAGCGACCAAAGCTCGTTGCTCAAATTGCAACGATCTAATTAATTTTCGGTATAAATTCATTTGCATTGTAGCAGGAAATATTAGCCTACCGTAAAAATATTACGTTTACTGCGAAATATTAGCGTGTACCGTGTATCGCATAGGCGAATTTTCTTGAATCTGCATTGCGTATCACGTACCGTTTGTTCCTGTTTCCGCCCCTACCTTGATAAAATAGGAACGAAGAAGTACGGATATGTCAATGATTATTCCAACTCGTTCCCATTGCTAAGATGTGTTTTCGGGTAGGCTCGTCGCTTTCGTTCGATGACATTAGTAACGTACGTTAAATACTTGTTATAATCGAATAATATTGACACAGCTACATACCTAGCTGGCTTGAAATATTCGCACAAGTAATCGAATCTTGCGTCAGGAACGGGTACGCGACGTGCTGAAAAATAAAGCGCAGTTAGCCAACGAGTAAATTGAAGTGGTGATAAATTTCAATGGAAAATAAGAAATGGTACAACCATGTGTCGCCTATCTATAAATCGTTTATTACACGGAGTCAGGGGGTTTTATAACGACGCTTAAATCTTAATGGAGTACAAAATCCTCATTGGAATCATCGTTCGACGATTCGTCATCGGGATCGACTAAAAGTTGAGTCGGTGATGTTCGACGGAATACAATGGAATTGGAGCGATTCGAGTATATGCTAGATATCATTGACAATTGTCCGCTCAATCTGTAACCATAGTTACGTTGATTTTTATCCACGGGTACATGCACGAAAGGGTTTAGCCTTTCCTTCATTGTTCGAGTTGCCACCTTGATCATCTTTTCGCGGGCGAAAATTCTTTGGCACATCGTTTTGTATACTTTGCTTTCCGCTATAGTGTACGACGCGTTATGAGTTTTCAAGTATGCACCGAGGTATATGGCGGCAGTAACCGATGGCGATAGACCTGGCAATTTCGGTCGACTTACGCTAATTTGATTTACACCTTTTACCAATAACTCGGCGACCGTTTGTTCCAGGAAACCAAGCTGTGGTAAAGTTTTTACGTCGATCGCTGTTAGGGTACGTAAAAATTTGATATCGACGTTCGCGTATTTGTCAGGCTGGGTGAGAAATTTCCGACGGCAATCTTCCGTGCAAAACAAGTATAAGTTGTCTTTGTATAGAATCCCTACAGTCGACATCCCAGGTACGAGTTTTCGAGTCGGTAGATTCTCGACATACGTTACTAAACAGTACCCCCCAACTTGCAAGCGTTTCGCCCAACAGGAATGTTCCAAATCAACCGTTTCCGTCAGGATACGAGGACGATCTTTCGGCAAATACGCGGTACTCGCTGGTGGAAGATACTTGTGTGGATTTCGAGTAAATTCGTTCATATGTTGCGAACAAATCCAGTAGAAATGCTCTCTAAACTGGACCATTCCACGATGATCCGGAGGAGGTCCAGAAGATTCCATCTTGTTCTCGTAATACAAGCAAAGAGGGCAATACCTTTCGAATCGACTTTGCCGCCTTTTGAATTCGTACGGTGAAACGCTCATATATTTCAAATTAAGTACCTTATCGTAATCGCTTTCGCGAAAGTACGATCTGATAAACATATACCTCGAACATACGTTTTCATCGGCTCGCGTCCACACGTACCACGTACACTTAGTAGCGTCCAGTTCGATTACGTTCTGAGTGAAATTTTTCAACCACCTTCGGAAATTCTCCTGATCGATTTTCCAAATGTCGTACCGATGTGTCAAAAATCTGTTCGAGAAGTTGGGTGGTTTCGTCGTTTGATCGGCCGCGCGAGATAAGCAATCGAGGCAAAATGCTAGAGTCGCTTTGAGATCAAGAATGATGGTTGGCTGAAAACCCAGAAACGCCAATTCCTCGTATTCTTTGCGGTTCAGGGGGAAGCCATCCAGCACGAAACCCTGAGAAATCACATCGGGATCGATAGAATACGTTTCAACAGCACGGTATACGCATTCCGCCGGAGCCATTTCACCCGCACGAAGATACGATTCCGTCAATTGTGCAGACTTCGTCCAAGGAAAATGCTTCGCGATGTAACGTAGAGCAGCTCCCCGAGTTACTACTTTCACGCCGTACTTTTTCGCGAACCGTTGCGCCAGAGTGGTTTTTCCGCATTTAGGTGGTCCGATGATGGAAAGCCGGAATGGAATAACAGGTACGCGAGAATCTTGCTCGAGATACTTGAGCGGACTCTTTAGAAATGCGGTTTGCGCATCTTTGCCGGCGAAAAAATAAACGTATTGTCGGTGTATCACGGGATAAACTTCTCGCAGAGTCTCTAACAGCAAGAATCTTTGCAGAGGGATTTCGTTTCGACGCAATTGCACGGGACACCAGCGACCAAAAGAACTTAGGAGATAGTAGCCGCAATCGAGAAGTACGTCGGCTGTTTCGGGATCTATGGTATAGATTTTCTCCAGAATGGTAACATTTCGATGAACACGAGGCTCGAGAATTCTCAAAACTTGCAGATAAACGTATGTCGCGTTCTCTTCTGCATCCACTACGACGTACGGTATCGATTCGTCTTTCAGAATACTCCGTACAGCGTCTAGTTTTTGAGAATCGTCCTCATACTTGTTTCGAAACTCTTGCTCGATTCTTTGCTTCGCCGTTTCAACATTTTCCCAGTCGGTGAACAGTACCGGCTCAGGATTTTCTCTATACCACGTTTCTTCTAGCTCAAATTTCTTGTCTTCCATATCTTCTCCCACGTATTCATACCCTTCTCCTTCTTCCACGTATCGTTGATCCGATATTTTATCCAACATTCTTTTTATCCAAATGTCTCGATTCGTTTCGTAATCTTCGAGTTCTGCCGTGTATCGTGCATGTTCGGTAAGTTTCTTGTTTTCTAAATTCTCCTGCCACATTTCGAGTAATTTAGGTATCATCCTTTCCGACGCCGTGTCTTTGCCGCAACGAAGTTCTAATATTATCTCAGGCACCGTGTAATATTTCCGCGCCATCTCTACGTCTTCTAAACAGCTTGGAAATTGATCGAGCACGACGCCGGATTGATTATAAAGTCCGTCGAAAAACTTTAATAAACACTCGCGTTGCATTTTTCTGGGAAGTGCACTTCCGGTTCCCCAATAATTTCGAACGAACGTTTGGATGGTGGCAGTGTCGCTGTTGTATCTTTCGTCGTCGAAATCTTCTGGTAATTCTACTTCGTCCGGAAGATCCGCGGATAAAGCGATAACGTCTCTATGGGAAATTGGTGGCATTCCGCGTGATTCCATGTACACGGTGAAACACCGGAAATAATCTATATGAACTAAGCCACATTCTCGAGATATCGCGTCTGCCAACGTGCTTTTTCCGCTTCCCGATGGACCAATAATACTCACGCGAAGCGGTGGAATTAAAGACAACGGTTTTCTTAACGGAAGGCTTAATTTTTCCGGACCGCGTATAAATTCTTCCAGAGCTTCGGCACTGGACAGGTGATATATTTTATCCATAAAAATTCCGCTAAACTCCTCCTTGCCCTTCCAGAGCACATTGTATTTTATTAACGCTACTGGACAATAGTAATTAGTATCTCCGAAACGGCGATTATCCTCTTTCAAGTTCGTCTCCACCGTTTCCTTTTCGCCTTCCATCTCGCCTCCATCTTCCTCCATATTTTCAGAGTAATCAGTCATTGCGATGTAATCTGCAAGATCTTTTTCCTTCTCCTTTTCCTCGTCGCTCATGATTCTCGCTTTATCCGCATAGCGATCCTTAATTCGATCCATCACGTACTTTGCGACGTTATTTATTTTGCCAATATCGCAGGTAATCAGATTTCTACAACTATCCATCACTTCTTCCCTCATCGTTTCCCAATCCAGCTGGAATTTTTGAATTTGCCTGAGATATTCGGCCAGTCCTCGTACCCCTTCCTCGGTCTCTTGAGCTTTAAAGTATTCCGCCTGTTCTTCTTTAAATTCCTCTTCATCTTTGTCACCGTGAACGTTGTACCACTTGGACAATAAATATTCGTAAGGATCCTCGTCGAACAAAAGAATTACATCTTCGAAAATAATCCCAGAATCTTCCACGATTATTTTCCAACAATCGATATTAGGATACATACCGTCCACGATGTAACCCCCATCCCTCCATACATCCACGTCTATTTCTTCCTTCGGTAAGTTTCGTACAGCTTCTACAATCGCGTTAGACCTTTCTGGCAAAATTTCGTAACGCGGTGAACGAAGAAAAACATTCGAGTCTACGTCCGTTAAAGATCTGTCGATTTCGTTCACATTTATGACCGTGCCCCTCAGCATTTGCGCCAATTTGTCGCATAAATCAGATTTACCGGAGTAGTTCGGACCGAACACGGCGAGTTTACAAGTTGGTCGAGGAGAGAAGTTGCGAAGAAAAGTTCTCGGGTTCTCCGTAAATAAATCAACCGCTTCGATCGACGAAAGAAAGAAGATCTTGTTCATGAATCGAACAGCATGTTTCGCGACTCCTTCCACTGTTCTTCCTCTGGCTAATTCGACCGGACAAACAAAATTCCAAGCCGAGAGCCTCCAAGGAAATAACGGTGAAACGGTCTCTCTGTTTGTCAAATCATGCAACGCTTCTTCGTTCGATTTGCTCTCGAATTCGTCCAGTTCCACCGCGACGTGATCCAGGAATCTTTTCGGCAGAATCACGCGTTGTATCGGCAACACGCGTAAACGCGAAACCACGGTTTGAAACATCAGTGACACTGGTTTGCGACCATCTACGCGTATTACGTTTTCCGGATTGTGCAACAAAGTCCGTTTCTCGATGGAAGGTACGGCGAAACGCTGATACAATGCGCATTGCGTTTTCACGTTCGATTTCATGTCGGAAAGTCTCTTCAGTAGATACTTTCCTCGATTCTCGTCTAAAATCCGTTCCTCGCTCACGAGCTGCTGATACAATCCGTAAGAGACGTTCATGCCGTGTCGTAATTTATCGTGGGAAAACAGCATTTCGATATTCTCGTTCGCTTCGGCGAAACTCGTGTCTACGATACGGCCAGCTATCGGGTCTATGCGAAGATATTCGCGTTTTCTTACGACGTCTGCGTCAGGACACATTACGTAGACAATTATCGTTGGTTTTATGGGCCACGTTGCGAAAATATCATCGATTTGACTGTAGATAAAACGCTGGTAATTGGGTTTCGTTGCGCATGTCTTATCCTCTGCGGTTTTACTCGAGTTTGAAATATCTTTACCGCTATTAGGTACGTTATCTTCGAATTCGTCTGCCATATTACATACCCCAGGAAACGTTAGACCGAAAAGCTTTATGTATTTCTCCGAGGTATTCCGTGAACTGGACTTTTCGTCGGAAATATTCGGATATGAGGAGTAATCGAGCGTCACGTTTGAAATTAGCGGTAACCCTTCCACGATGTACCCCTTGTGAAACACGTCCCTTTTATTCAGTCGACTTGCTAACAAATTCGTGACAATTTCCGGACCTAGACATTCGCCTGTTCTTAGAATATCTTCGAGGAATTTGCCTTTCTCGCTGTTTTGCTGGATTTCCTGTTTTATAAGAGGCAAGGGGGAAATCAAAACGCAATTCCAAGAGTCCGCTATCATGGTCGCGAGTCTGGTGGTGTTTAGACCAGGTTTTCCCAAGACAACGAAACACGTTGGTTCGCTTGCTAGATATTTTCTTCTTGCCTCGGATTCGCAATAGGGATCGCGAATCTCGTAAGGTTCTTCGGACGGGCCAAAGTGCGGTGGAATATCGCCATGTTTTCTCGATTCACACTTGGTGGAAGATCTGGTAAACGGGTTGGTATCCTCGAGAAAGGGGTAGTAAGAATTAGCTTTTGGATACACGCACGAATGAGGTTTAGGCCACGAGGGGGTATATTCTATACGAGGATATCCTTTGATGAATGGAAAAAAGCTCTTTTTCGTGATAAAAGATGCATCCGCGTAAAACTGGTTGTCGTCGTCTTTTCCTTCATCGTCTTTCGCGTTGTACAAAGTTTTATCGCACATCGTTAAGTATATTTTACTTTGAGGTTACCCAACGATTCTTTCGTTTAAAGTTACGAACAAACGACACGCGATTCAACGATAGGTTAGATATTTGCAATTGCGACCGCGAAATGCGATTAACGTTAATAAGACGAATAAGCATGCATAATAAATGTAAATACTTATTTTCATTGGGATCGATGGTGCAGAAGGGGAAATTCTCAGCAGCCGCCTGACTTTTCGTGAGGACATTGAAGAAGGTTGATTTTCCTACGTTAGGTATGCCTACTATACCAACTTTCAAGTTGGTGCCCACGCGGCCAATCAGTGGTTTCCGTTCGGGTTCTTCGATTTTCTTTGGCGCCATTCTAAGAAAAATAGAAGAAATTTATCGTCATTGCTCGAGGTTTCGTGGTGTACAAACATCGTGGTGTATCGCGATTTAACGAACTCGGCACTGCATACGGAAAGAAATCTTAAAATACGCGTTCCACGCTATAGATAAACGTTCGTTTGGATTTCACAGCGACACCGTTCGGTTCGCGACACCTAGAGGTATACCGATACGTCTTTGTCTACGTGCTAAAACATGCTGAGTAAAAATGGACACGTACGTATAGATATATATATATATGTATATATATACGCAGTGGGAGGGAGGAGGGATATCAGTTTGCATGGATAGAAATGAAAATGATCCAACATGGATCGACCACGCCCTTATTCCTGCAACCCTCGGAATCTTTAACTTCACCATGTTTCACCTACCTATGCACGCACTGCCCCCGGCCTTGTGATACTTCGAACAGAATCAAGGTAGGGCAAGTAGAGCGAAGTAGAATGGAGTAGAGCGGAGACGACTCGGCTTCTCGAACAGCGGTTCGAGCGCTCGGGGTGACTAATTATATTAATGCGGACGGCACATCAAGCGATTGCTGTATTTACCACGAGATTGCCCCCCTTCTTTCTCTTCATCCTTCGCTGTACAACGGCCCGCGCCATATCAAAAGGATGAAACAGGTACGAGACGCCTACGGGAGGCAAAGGGAGAGCAAGGGAGGCGAAGGGAGGCGAAGGGAGGCGAAGGGAGGCGAAGGGAGGCGCAGGGAGGCGAAGAAAAGTGCGGAGAAGCGAATTCGAGAGAAAGAAGAAGGGACGAGGTGGATTCTCTGAGCAAAGATGCGAGGGAGGAGGAATACGTCGGGTAAGGGGACCGACGATTACTGGGCACCAAAGCCGCGAATCACCGGCATCACGCCGGGAATCTGCAACCGCGCCTCAGGCCGCCAATCCGCCACTGACTTTCCGATTCTTCTTCCTCTGTCTCATCTTTTGGCCCCTCTCCCTTCTCTTTCGCCTTCCTTCTCTCTTACCATCCACCATCCAACCGGTCTTCCTTTACCTCTTTCTCCGTCTGTCCTCAAACTATCCAGTCTACGGAACGGTTTAGCTCGGGACCGCGCCACCTCCCGCCGTTCCTCGTCACGATCCCCGGGAAATTTGCAAATTACGATAATGGAAGAGAAGAAAGGATCCGCCCGCGATGCTACCCAACAGCCGCTTTGGCGCCGTGGCATCACCGTCGCTCCTACTTTTCCTTGCATCGTCTCGCTGTGACCGACCGCGCTTTTATCGATTACGTCTGCTCGGTAAAGACGTAGCTATATACCTGCCCACGGTAACGAGTCCCCCCATTTCTAATTAGTCACGCGAAATAATTCCTCCATGGAAATGTTCGTATCGAGAGATTTGAATAAAGCCGCCAGTATTTAGTACCGAATCGATCGAATGGAGGGAGCTTTGCACTGTATAGGTACATCGTACGGTGCTGCCTCGTAACACTAGGCACTCGAACCAGGCATGAGATGTACACTGCGACTTAACCTTACTTTCGAAAGAAGAACGAGTTATTTATAGATTGCTAACTTTAACAATTTTCAATTATACGCTTTTTAACGTTGTTACGCTATACTCAAATCGTTCGCTTATACGCTAGACCCACGTGTATGTTCCTATCGGCGCAACCAAAGTTGCATCACGTTTGCACACACGTACGTTACCTGCGTCCCGTGAAAATTATATGAAAATCTACGAGGATCACACCGTTCGCACTCGCTATTCGATCGATTACGTCCACTGAGTGTCGATTAAGTACCTTTCGTATTCTTCTTATTTTGTCCGAGTAAATATCACTGCACAACGCGTGGCAAAGAGAGGAACACAGCACTATACTGACGTCACACGTTCGACCGGTCTCCAGTTACGAAACAGAGAACTGCATTATCAACGGAGAGTTTCTTCGATTGAATAAAAGAAAGTAAAAAGCGAAGATTCGCTGCTCGCGATAAAGAACGAATGCTAAAATTTATCTTTTCCCTGATATTTCGAACAACGCGATACCGATATCTTCCAGCTTTTTCTCCTTATTTTTCGATATCTCCATTACCACCACGGTGCTAGTTGCTCGGTAATTTTTATTCAACGATTCACTAGTTGATTCTAGCAGTTTAACCTGCTCCAAGTGTCTATTTTCAGACGTGTTCGTTGCAATATCGCGAATAGCTTCACCGAATGATACGATAACTTTAAACGATACGGCAAAGAATGACCATCAAAGGTGGTTCGTCGTAATGGTTTCTCGGGAATCATAAATCCGTATACGCGTGTACATTACAGATACGAGGTATAAAACATCTGCGAAGGTAAAAAGCACTCGTGATTGAAATCGTATTGCTGTCGCGGCAAAAACTGTAATTTCGTACAAATAAAATAAACGCGCGTTTTGACTGCCGGGATTGGTGCAGCTATCACCGCAAATGACACAGATTTACTTATATTTGTATACAAGTTTTTCTTTGTAGTCCATTACATAAGGCAAGTTTCGTAAGAGAGTACGCGTGTACAAGGATACGCGGTATGGTTCCAAATATGAACGCGATTATTGGAGTCTAATTTGGTAGTGAGCGTATGTGATGGGAACGTGCGTCGTGAATCACCGGAGGGCCGTAATTCGAAAGATAATATTAAAATTGCCTCAGAATGGAATAAAAGGAAGAAAAAAACAACGGAATTTGAGCGTGTGTGTGTGTGTGTGTGTGTGTGTGTGTATCCTTGCGGCTGTTCTATGGTAGCAGCGTGGGATCGCGCAAGGAAAGAATACTCGAAGCCATCGTTGACAACGACCGGTTGGTTCGAGGGAAATTCACTCGACGCTTGCGAAGAAAAATGAATCGTCGCGCTAATTTTTCGAAGCGTTTCCCTGATTTTTAAACGTCTCGATTCGCCGCGATTAGGAAGACCCCGCGCACGGAAGTGGAGCGTAATTTGCATAAGTTGGTGAAATTTCAATTACTCCGGATATATATATATTTGTTGCCAGCACGATATTGCGTTAACCGATGTTTCATTTGGCGAACAGATTTCTAACATTGTGTCGACCTTGTAGCGTATGATTATTTCAATTATTTTATTACGAACCGTATCAATCTCAGCCCATATAATGCATATAATCAGAAGGCTATTATTCCACGAGCGCACGGCTGGCGGAAAGGACCTTTCCTCTACCTCTCTTCGGACCATAGTCTATACCATCTCGACTCGCTCGTTTTCGTGATATTGTAATTTGGAGACCGCAAACTCGCTGACGTCACTGGTGCACCGAAGCATCTTGCCAGCGTAGCACACGATCGGAACTCTTCCACCTGCTTTTTTTTTATTACCCGACAACTTCGATGAAAAGCATATTAAAGGCGGTCGAATTATAGGAATTTTGGCAGATTAGATATGCGCCGAATTGAAGGATTGCGTTACTAATTCCGAGGAAACACCGACGCGCTGCTCGTTGCTTCGGGATTTATTTCTGCATGCCGCACACTGACGGATTACACGGCAGGTTAACGAAAGAGCAAACTCATTAGACACGGTACGATCGTGCGAGAAATTTATATTTTTCTCGCACTCGCGATAAACCGCGTTTTCGAGAGACGCGAGCAGGGAGATATCGACGGCGTAGCAAATAAAAAGAAACCGGGTTCTCGAAAGGAACAGCCAAAGCAACGAACTCTCGAGGGAAGCAGCGACTAACAAAAAGAAAAGATATTAAACGTTTGTTCAAATATTACACACCTCTCGGGCTGTCATTTGCTTATCGTTAGCGGCGATTGCTCATCGTAACGTTTCGCCAGTCGTTCGGTTACGGTGTTTTCGAGTATACCGAGTGATTTTATTGCTAGAAAAAATAGAAGATGGATCGTAAATGGAGCACCGAATAACAGGGTGTAAGGAATAAGAACAGAGTTTGCATTGGAAGATAATAAATGTAGAAACGATCGTTTAATGAGAAACATACGAGACTCGCGTTTACGAGGAAATAACATCGAAACTATCGAGTGTGGGCCAATTATACGGCACATAAAATTTTTCTTTGTACGCTGCTGTAACGTACGGTCTGTGATCACCTTTAAAGATGACTTAATCGGCACTGGCGTTAATCGATATCTTTACTCGATATCGTTTACCTTAGAAAAGCGCTGCACGAGACTATCGATTATCTGCAAATTCGACATTCGTGTCCTCGAGTTTATTTCTTTTCAAACAATTATCGCCGGAACGCCGGTAATCGTCGAGTGGTTGGACAAGCAAATTGATGGAAATCTGATAAGCTAATGGCACGTTGCTTAATTAGGAATAGGTGTAAGTACAAAGTATACTTTGCTTTGTTTTAAGATCTCGTGTGACGATCGGAGTTGCTCGATGCTTCGATAACCAGTTTTATAGATTCGGTAGTTGGACTTTAACTCGCGATTTCGATTCTAGTCGGGTCTATTCGACGCGGGAAAGATTGAAAAAGAAATAGGAAAATAGAAAGAAAGGAATTGCTGAAATATAACGGCATCGTAATAACTCGCCGACGAGTCGGATACACGCTAGCAACGGTCCATTGGCTGTATTACGAGCTCGTAAAATGCAATGTTGCTTCTACGTTGCTTCCGCTCTTTCGTGCTTTTACGAGGCAAATTGAAGATTATAGAATGACCGCTCTCGCTTTTCTCAGCTGTTGCTGCATCGTTTAGAAGCATTACATCTCCCCGTTTCCTTTCTTCCTTTGCATAACCATATTCGGGGTAAAACTGGCCGTGGAGAGGAAAATTATGCAGGAAGATCGAGTGGATAGAAAGAATTTGCGGCCAAGTTAATTCTCAGAGTTATCTAGAATCAGGCAGATACTTTGCTTCAGCGATCTTCTTTGTTAAGGAGTAACGTTATTTTCTAATTCCAGATGCGTTGTTCCTTTACGCTTTCGAAGAGGAAGGAAGCGTGAAATAAAATTGAAAAGCAGCATGTTAATATGGGAATCATTGCTTCTTCGTTCTTGAAAAGTTCGAAATTATACGCATTCGGGATGAAATAGATTGTAACACTGTATCGAGATAGACCAGAAGTACATCCCTAATAACTAATTGTATAGGGACGTAAAGAAGCCTTGATAATTCTTCGAGCATGTAGCCACGCAATTAAGGTGTAACGTTTCGAAGTTCTGGTCGTAAACAACGCGGGCAAAGTAGCGGAACCTCCGAGGCTCGGTTCCGCCCGTCAATTGTTACCAATTGTTACCAATCAGAGTAATACGTGTCATTATGGTGAGAAGGTTAGCAGCAATGCGCAGCACCACTCTGCCATGTACAGACCAGATTACACCGCGCGCGATATTAATTCGAGGATAATTACGCGGTTCGTGTTGGACACGTGCAAGTTCAAATTAATTAATACATTTTACCGTTTCATTTGTCATTTTTTGTTCCACCATTCTATCGTGTTACTAGCTATATGATCTTTCGCAGCACGTTATTCCGTCTCGCGCTCCATTCGGTCGGTATTCCACCACGATGGCGATATCTCGTCGCGTTCGTTGCAAATCCGACTCGACGATCGCATTTCTCGCATTGCTCGCATCAGTCGAGCCTTTGCAACGTTCTAAGGTCGTTCGCTGCTAATTCCAACGAACTATACGTGTAATTTCTCTCAAACTATAAACCTGCGTATATGTATATATACAACAACGGGAGAT